TATCGGTCAAAGACCCATCTGCGATACAGAGATACAAGGTCAAGATCGCCGGCAGGGAGCTGCCATCAAGAGTGGGCGAAAAGTACCGAAGTATCGTTTTGCAGTGCCTGAGAGGTGATTCTTTCGTGTGACGAGATTTGGAGGAATCAGAAAACGGCATGCTCGACACCTCCATCGAGATTCCATGGAGACACAAGCATGTCAGTTGATCTCACATTGCCTGGACTATATCAGTATTAATTGTCTGCGAATCCTCGGAAGCCAGCGGTCTGGCCCTCCTAAACGTCGCTAACTATAACTGCGGCTCTTCTGCGTGCTGTTCGCCCAGCATCTTGGCGTGTGATGGCTTCGGCCCCAACAATCCTCATCTCGAAAACGCGCAGCATTCTGGGCACTTCCAGAGCGTCCACTGATCGGAGCCCGCCGGCAAGATAAAAAATGGTGGAGGATGGCGGCGCTGACTAGTCAAGACACGACGGACGGTGCTGTCCAGAGCCTGGTCGATCGAGTCTGCTTCAGCTCCATTGCGGGGATCCGCCTTTTACCATTCTGTCTAGTGAAGCAATCAGTCTATCAGTGACTCCTCCGGAGTCGTGGTGTTGTTTGTTGTTCGCGCTTTGCTCCGGACAGCGGATATCTTACAAGATTCCCAGTCTCTCCTTGCAGAAACGTGTCTAGTCTACATGTCCTTTGATGACTTCTGTACAACTCTATCCAGCCCAGGAGAACGAGATGGCCGCCTCGAGCAGTATCCGTTTCTTAAAGATGCGGCGAACCATTGGGGAGGCCACGTCGCAGACCACGTTTCCCGATCCGTCCGTGGCGATGTGCACAGTCGAGCCTGGGAATTTCTTAGCGACACGGCGAAGCTACGGAGCGCGTTCCTGGTTATGAGCGGCTTCCCATTCGAGCCAGACCCACTTGTGATCGGCCTACACATTGCGGCGTACTTTTGACTGACTAGGCTTGTTAAAAAGGCTATCAGGATGAATGAGGCCCAAAATATGGCAGTCGACGCGAGAACCCGTTCCGGGAGACCGCGCTGCACTGGGCCGCCAAATACCGACAGCGCAAGTTCCTGAAGCTGCTAGTCGATAACGGCGTGGACTTGAACTTGACGGACCGCGTCTGGCGTCAGAATGTGCTTCAATATGCCACTGCGAATGGAGACATGCTATCTGTCCCCGCGCTTCTGGAGTCGAATCACCATTGTGGCCTGTGTCTGCAGGATAGTGGTGGCTGGAACCCTCTGCGCCGGGCCCTCGCCGATGACTATCTGTAGTAGGGTAGCCCTCCGGGGTAGGGTATGCCGTCGATGGGCGAGGTAGTCCTGCTGCTTCCCCATCATCACCCAGGATGAGGCGACTAAGCATATCTCTCACCACGTCTTCTATCTTCTCTTTTTCTAACACTGGGTCGGAGCAACAGACATGAGTTTCTCTTGGCGCGCTTCTGAAAGCATTCATTGCCAGTAGCCTGCCAGCACTAGCTTGGATCCTCAGTCTATTCCCCCAAAAGTCGAGGAGACGTTGTGGCAGTCGTGTCCTCTGCGGTTGTGGGTTTAGCAGGAACTCTATTAAGTCACTCCTACTGGGATCGGGAAGGAGCCGTGTCCCGGGCGATTGTTGATTCAGGAGGAGCTCCATTACGTCCCTCAGATCGAGTTCAGGAATGAGTCGTCTCCCCTGCGATTGTTGGTTTAGTAGGAGCTCTATCGTGTTCCTTGTACCAAACTCGGAGAGGAGCTCCCTACAGAGCTCAGTATGCCAGTTGTTCGGCCTGCTTCTCTCGCACCAAAGCTCGCGCCGAATCGCCTCCACTAGATGCTGCACTTTGAGCTCGGGAATCCTTTCACGCTGACGTAGGCGCTTGTCTTCAGCCCTTCGCTCTTTCTCAACGTCTTCCTCCGTTCTCTGCTCCCGCTCCATCCATTTTACGCTGTCGCGGCCGTCGTTTTGATGTGGGTTGAGAGGCCCTTCTGGCCGAAAAGGGACCTTGCGGCCGTAAGGGTCTGGTGGGAATTGGCGTTGGGGTGGAGGGCGGTTGTTTGCTGAATAACGATTGCCGAACGAGTTGGGCAAGAAATATGTCGGCTGAAGATAGCCGTCGTTAACACAGTTCTCATGGCAATACTGGCCTTGAGACAGATCGGGACCCGCTGTGGGTTGCTGGGCTGGGGGAATACGCGTGTGCGTATGTCGGATAGCCCGCAACGTGCTGGAAGAGTGAGGCGTGTTGGAATATAGCGATGGTGACGCTCTATTCGTCGACTTAAAGGCATTTGGGGAGTTGTAACGGACAGTCTCCCCCAGGGCCTTAAAAGATGAATGATGGTCACTTCTGGACTCCTATGGCGCATCATTGCCTTCGCACGACTCCGGGCGATCGCCGTTACTCAATCTCCTGTGAGGCCGGGGGAGATGATGCTTGGTTCCCCGTCTCGATGCCATGTTCTGATTGTCTCCATTCTCTATATCCGAGTAGTCGCTCTAGCTCGAGGGCTGCTGGTCTTGGTCTTCCGAGGAGATTACCTGCCTCGGCGTGCTACCGGGCGACTCTCCCTGCCCTTCCGGCTTAGGTATTGGCGGTATCGTTCTGGGGTATTTGGTGCGAGCCAACCCGACAGGTTACGAAAGCATAGGTGGAAAAGGTGTGATGAACCAGAATGTCGGCGCAAGAGCAGGTAAGGTCAAAAGCTCTAACTCGGGGTCATAGATGATTACAGAAAGAAACGTTTGCTAACAACTCCAAGTCGCATAACACACGACTTCCCTTACGACACCTTCCGCTGCCCGATTATTTGTCAAGCTCAACTTGATTGGGTTGGGCTCAGGCAGTAAGATGTCGCGAACTAACACCGCAGAACAATAACGAGGCCACGAATAATACGGGGATACGGGGATCATCGGCCATCCCAATACCAGCATGAGCGCCCCATCGGGTGTCGGTCCCACTTCCACCAACTCTCATTCTTCTTTGAGAATAGGGTAGAAGGGTGAAAAGAACCACTGGCATGAGGAAGAACTACTGGACTTATCCGAATTGACTCTATCAAGGTTCCCAAGTTTCGCCCATTTAGGCATTTTCTCACGCCTTGGATGAGTTGCGAAGATGAGAATGACGTCAAACTTCTTGAACGGCAAGGCAGAAAATCCCGCTTGGCATGCCTCACTACCTCATTCGGGACCGGGGTTGCACCACATATGCTAGAGGAGTTGAAGAAGGCGATATTTCTACTTACGTACAGGATCAGGCTTTCTCATCTCCTTAGATTAAACTGCATAGCTGGTTCCAGATTTGATATCTAAGTACACTATTGGTGTTCTCATGCGTGACCGTCTGGTACGTGATATGTGGAGGTGGGAGGGAGGCATGTGGTCTTAAGACCACTCACAGCCCTTGAGACTGGCAAGCCGTATCGACTCAAAGGATAAGTGGACGCCACTGCCGGAGGGACTTCGGAGAAGACGGGCTTACGGAGCCGGAATATTGAGGTTTTTGTGTGTTGGTATTTGTGTCTTTGGGGTGAGGCGAAGAGGGAACTCCCACAGGTTTAAGAGTGGGTGGATCGTTAGCTGAGAAAGGATCAAATTACCTACGGTTGATCTTGGCTGACCCGGCGGTTTCAATCTATTACTCCATTTCGTGGCTTCAAGGCTTCCTGTTGCCGTTATAGCCAGGGTTGCGGGACTTGCTGCTGGCGTTGTGCCTAACACCTCGTCTCTGTAAAACCTAAGTTGTCGTTGTGATCGAACAATTTGAAGGAAGACCAATGCGATTTGATGACTGACATTGTTTGATCGATGCAGTAATCGGGGTTTACTAGATACAGTAGGTTTCGCCCACATCACCGTCTGCCTCTCCAACACGGCCTTTGTCGCCGGTTCCAACTGCTAATTGCCGTCTCCTATACCTTTGCATCCTCTCCAATGCCTACGGAGAAGGCTGAGATAATCTACGCGGGGATAATCGATGGGAATGCCTCCATACTACCCCGCGAATCTCTAAGGTGAGGTTGTACTAGTCTACTAAGATTCGCTAGTTGAATTGCAGTTGTTTAAGATCAATGCGTCTGATGGAAATGACGGCTATCGCGTGCTATAATACGAAGTACTGCAGCTCTTTTGTTCCACTAGTCCGATGGACACCAGCCATTCACAAAGGCTCCTTGGAAGTTGGGGTAGAGAGAGTGTAAGCGTTAAAGAGTTTAGCTTTGCTGTGGAGTGGTCCGCTCATCCTCCTTGCCTCGGCACCTGGATCGAATCCCAGAGGTTACCGTGACATAACCGAGAAGCTGTGGTTTACCAAGCTTCGAGCAATGCATCAATCAATCATTATTCGGGCGATCGCTATTCCTTCGTACACGCCACTGCCTGTACATGGACAATTGATGGAGGCGACGCGAGTGTTGCTGTATGCAATCGAGAGCGCATCAAATATAATAACGCATCAATTGATCAGTATTTTCAAGCCTACCCTCATGAACTCCGACACCAGATGAGAGATGTGAGGTTGGACTTCAAATATCACTCGACAGTAGATTTCAGGTTTTAGACGACTTCGGTCTAGATTGGTCTTCTCCAGAAAGTCTGGGCAGGGCCGCCGTCGGCTATATCCACCCATACCCAAGTTGGAGATTTGGAGAAACCCCCCCTGGTTCATAAGGGGGTGGCGATAGCCTAGCCAAAATAGTTTATCGCGCCGACTCAGTGTCTAGTGCTATAAAAAAAAAATTTCCCAGATCAGACCCTTTCAATTGCATTATAGCGCTGCCAGTCTTCCTAGTCCGATTTTCTCTCTTCTCCCCGCCTTCTCCCGACCTTCTTGCTCTCGATCCTAATACGACTCCATTCACCTCTGAGGAAAAAGGAATCTGCCTTGCTTGTTTCGTCCTGTTTATAGAAAAGGGCTCAGCAGCATAGATTCTCGGCATCCCGGGCACTCCATTTCCACCCCATCACAAATCGGACGAGGTTGACCTCACCAAGTTTGCGCCCACAATGTCTCCGCCCATGTCGTCCTCGCGAGAGAAGGAGTCGAATGTTGCCCGTCTCCTGGGCTCCGGTACGGAATTTCGGTGGCCAATTGATGGCGAGACGAATACTGACCTCGATCGAAATTTGCAGGCTCCGCCGGTATCGCAGAGCTTATGCTCTTCCACCCTGTATGACTCGTCCGATGACCCTTCAAAGCGAAAACGAAACCCTTCACAGCGACAATGTAGGACTAACAACCCGCGCCTTAGGTCGATACCATTGCCAAGCGATTGATGAGCAACCAGACCCGTATCACCAGCGCTTCGCAATTAAATACCGTCATATTCAAGGAGAAGGCCGCGGCGGGACTTGGCACCAAGTTCTTCTCTCTCTTCCCTGGTCTCGGCTACGCGGCGGGCTACAAGGTAACGCAATTTTCCTCTTCTTCGCTAAAGAAGGGTATGCGAAAGGAGACCAAGAACTATTTTTTTCTGACCCGAGAAATTTCTAGGTCCTCCAAAGGATATACAAGTATGGCGGTCAGCCCGTCGCACGAGACTTCCTCGGCACCCACTACGGAAAGGACTTTGAGCAGGCCTTTGGCAAGAAGACTGGCAAGGCCATTATGCACTCTACGGCCGGAAGGTAAGAACAAAAAACGACTGGGTTTTGCGCATTGGAGATTTCTCGGTGAAGGTATGAGGCCACTCACTAACATATGGCGATGGCATATAGTTTGATTGGTATCGGCGAGATCGTCCTCCTTCCCCTCGACGTACTCAAGATTAAGCGACAGACAAACCCTGAGGCTTTCAAGGGACGAGGTGTACTCAAGATTGTTAAGGATGAGGGCTTTGGCCTCTACCGGGGATGGGGATGGACTGCGGCCCGAAACGCTCCCGGATCCTTCGCGGTATGTAGTTGAGAATCGGAGAGCTCGAAAACCGGCATTGAGGACTCAAGCTAACATCCCCTTTCCACAGCTCTTCGGCGGTTCTGCTTTCACCAAGGAATACGTCTTCCATCTTCAGGATTACAACTCGGCCACCTGGTTCCAGAACTTCGTCGCTTCGATCGCCGGTGCCTCTGCCTCGCTAGTGGTTTCCGCTCCTCTCGACGTTATCAAGACCCGAATCCAGAACAAGAACTTCGACAACCCCGAGAGTGGATTCAGGATTCTCTCGAACATGGCTAGGCACGAAGGATTTAGCAGCTTCTTCAAGGGTCTGGTACCTAAGGTACGTAAAATATCACCTGACACACACTGCACAGGATCCGGAATACTCTCTGGACGACAAAGATTTGAAATATGCTGACTTGTATCTGCAGCTCCTTATGACTGGTCCTAAGCTTGTGTTCTCCTTCTGGCTCGCGCAAACCCTCATCCCTGCTTTCGACAAGGCTCTCGCGAAATAAATGAGTAGACTGTACGAAAAGAGGTGCTTGCGTAGTGGTTTGATCTAACCCGGAGAACTCCCTCGAGGAGTGTTTCCTGCCTGACATGTGTGTGATGGGTGATTTGTCTCCCCGACCTATATGAACGGTTTAATGTTATAGACGACAGGACGACGCAAAAGTTTGGACGGCCGACTCTCTATATACATGTCTGATTTTTGAGCGTGGAATTTATCTTTCACTCTTGATAGATGGGCGGCGGGAATGGGTAAAACTGGGTGTTGCTGAGCGAGGTGAGGGTAGTAGTAGAGAAATCTGTTGCTCATGTGCTTCTGTTATTCTTGCTTGTTCTTGTATAGACCAATCTTTTTTTTTTTCTTAATATCGCAGCTCTCGAGACATCAGTTGCTTCACCTCCGTATTGGAACAATGTGCTGATGTACAGCATTTGGACATGACATTGATATTTCGGCTTAATTGCGAGCTGGGTCTCGTTCCCAGGTACACAAGCCCATCGCAGTTGTTACCAATTGACGACCTGCCCGATATTAAGATGGCAGGAGTGAATCTCCCGAATTGGAAACAACAAACATCGTGAGTGGTCGGGCCTGGCCTCAATCAGTTGTACAGTTGTACATTCGTCGAGGGGAGGGTTCGAGACCAGGAACACGTCAGAACGTCTCCGCAGAGCCAGGTTTAGCCGTCATTCAATGATGGAAGGGGCGTTCATGATGATCAATTTGATGGGCCAAGGGGAAGGAGCCATGTTGTGTACAAGTACAATGTTGGGTGCCCAATGATAACCGCTGTGGCGCACTGTGTTGTCACGGCAACCACCGCCTTCCCGAGCTGGAAACAAACACAACATGGAACATCAACCAACCCATCAACCACGACCAGACAGGGCCGCGCAGATTCCAGACCAACCTTGGTGACAGCGAAGAAATCACGCTAAAACAATAATAAGTGCCATCCCCTCGTCTTATAGCCTTTGCCGACTTTATATTCCCTCCCTCGCAAAGTCTGGATCCGCGCACGTTCGAACACACCGTCTTACCGTGGTGAATCTTTCTTCTCCAATTTCCCTTCCTTTGCTATCAAGGGCCATTGGCACCCTTGCACGGTTTCGGCATCTTCTTCTCTGTGTTTTTTGTTCTTTCAATCAGCATTTCATTCGACTTCGAGTAGCTAGCTACATATACGATACCCACCACAATGCCTCCTATCGAGAGAGACGTCTCGATGGAGCCGAGAGGCTTACGACATGTGCACTCGGCTTCCTCTGATCATGGAAAGGCCCTTACTATCCCAATGTAAGTCGAACTGAAGAACATTCCTTACGATCCCAATTCGTACCCTCTCAAACTCTGTTTGCCCGCCTGCCTCGGTGACTGACGCATCATGAACAACAACAGGTGGGACAGCTCAGATCCCGACCGGGCTCCTCCTCCCCTTCCTCTAAACCCTCAGTCTCCCAGCATCGGCACGTCTCGGCCTGGAACATCAACAGCTATCCAGTCGGCACACGCTGCCTTGACAGAAAAGGCCCGCGAAAGCATGGCGAGCCCCCTTATGTCGAAACGACTCAGTGAGGTCTCGCCGGAGCGTCCCCTACCTCGCCCAACGCCTCACCGACGAATGCAGTCCCTCCAACCCAGCGCCGTACGAGACCGCGGCTTCCTCATTGAAGGAATTCCCTCCTCTCCCCTCTTCCCGGACAAATCGACCAGACCATCGACGCCAATTCGACATCGAGACTCGTTTTCAATGTCCCCCGACAAGATGAGCGAGCATAGGATGTCGACCCCAGTACCGGGTCCCAGCCTGACGCCAATTGTTAGGCCAACGGCTATTCGCCGCCATCACCAGAGTATCCTTGGCGAGAATACGCCTCCCCAGTCCGCCACGATGCAAGCCCTACACAACATGCAAACACCGAGCGCGACGCAGAGCCCTACGAGTATGCCACCACAACAAACTCCTGCTGCCCCTAGGGAAGTCGAGACACCGCTGTCCAACGTAACGAACAACTCCACGGCTGTACCGAAGGGGACTCCAAATTTCGATGCGGCGGCGCTGTCTAACCAGATAATAACGCTCACGAATATCGCCACATCCCTTCAAAAGGAGATGTCTGCTCTCAGTCGCAGGAGCCGGGATAATGCGACTGACCTCATGAGTCTGAAGCAGGTAACTAGCTCTCGGGATGAGGATATTCGAAAGACCCTTCGAGACTTGATTGGGAATCTCAATGATCCAGTCAAACCCATCTCGTCCTCGAGGGATCCATTTTACTCCGGCCTGTTCATTGATACCAAGCACAACCATAATGCCACCTCTCCCCCGTCTTCCCTCCGTACCGCTGGTGGACGGCCGTTCTCCTTGCCACGCATCCCTTCCCCTAATAGCTTTGCGACATCTATCGACCGCGAGTCCGTCGGTAGCCCGCCGTGCTCCGCGGCGGATGCGCCGGCCACGATTGCGCTGCTTGAGAAAATTATCCGAGATATGGGCACTCGCGAGGGTCAAGACCTGCTCGTCACTCGGCTCACCGAGGTTGCAGAGAAGCTGTCTGGCATGGCTTCGGCGACCAAGGTCGAGGAGTTGATGCAATTGATTAAGAACTCAGAGCCGGTCTTGATTCCCCCGGTAAACAGCAATGGAGGAGGTCCTGACAAGCCGAGGCTGCGAACTGTCAACTTTGAGCAGAATGGCGAGTCTTCTAGGTCAATGTCGTTCGATAGCATGAGCCGGGGTGGCACGGTCCATCCCAGAGAGGCCGCTGCCAAGGCTCCAGCTAATGACCTCGTTAATGAGGACATTTTGAAGATCATCAGAACCGTTAAGGACAGCGTTTCCCAGGGCGGAGGGCTCACTGCCGAAGTTAAGGCTCTTGTACGCGAACTCCGAGGCGAAGTCTTGGGCATGGGTCGCGAATTGCGGCGTCGGCTTGATGAGGTCGTCGCCAAGGATGAAGATAGTAGTTCGGCCGAGAGCGCGGCAGAGCAGAGGAATGAAATGAAGCGCATCATCAACGAGGGGCTCGATGAGCTCAAGGACCATATGGACAACCTCCTACGGGAACACCGCAGACAGTCAGCTGCTTCGGCTGCCTCCAATGCAGTCGACTACCAGGAAATCTACAATGCCATGCGAGCGGCTCTCAAGGATTCGCAGGCTGGAAAACAGCAGCCTCCAACTCGGGACGACGTCGTTGAAGCCGTGCGCGAGGCTTGGGAGAATTACAAGCCCGAGATCGAAGTCCAGCAGTTCGGTCTGGAGAGGGATGAGATTCTCTCCTGTCTCAAAGAGGGTCTCCAAAGCCACGCTCCGCGAGATGACAAGCCTGTCGGCGCCACTCGGGAAGAGGTGTTCCGTGCTGTGGTGGAAGGTCTTAAGCACTTCGTCCCGCCGCAAATGGAGACACCCGCCACCCTCTCTCGTGACGAGATCCTCGACGCCGTTAGAGAGTGTCTTGAGGAGTTCGAGTTTCCTGTCGCGCCCTCAGCTCTTGGAAATGACTTGTCTCGCGATGACATGGTCCAGGCTGTCAAGGAAGGTCTTCACGGGTTCGAATTTCCCATGCCACCAACCTCCCAAGCCCTTACGATACCCGGAGAGAGCAACGACTACATCATGACGAAGCTTAGCGAGATTATCGAGCTTATGAGGCGCGAGTTTCGCGCCGTTTCCGACGAAGCCAAAGAGAACGTTGCTGCCAACGGGCGTGATACGGAGCAGGTTCTCGACGCGACCAAGGACGGATTTGAGAAGATTCGTCATGATATGGAGGTTTTCATCAGCCGTGTTAGCGGCCTTTCGGGCAAGCCGGACGCGACGGAGCTTCTTCTCAAGAGGTTGGAGGTCCTAAGGGATGAAGTCGCTCATATTTTATCAGGCCAGATTGAGGGTCTCCGCGATGCTGTCAACATGTCTCTTGTACCTTTCACAACGCAGCAGAATCCGTCAAAGCAGTCCCTCGATTCCATCAAGGATGGCATCGACAGAATCCGATCAGAGCTTCAGCGACCCTTGCCTGGAACTTCGGAAGTTCTCGACGCCATTCACGAGGGTCTATCCGAACTTCACATCCGCTTCGAGAAGCTCGCCAACAAACCACCCGACCTGACCGCCAACGATGAGATTCTAGACGCACTCAAGACCGGCCTTGATGGCGTTCGATCCAACATCGATGTCGTTCGATCTGACATCGACGGCATCCGCGATAGCCAGAACGACCGTGCCCTGGCTCAAATCACCGACAATGCTATTGTACCAGCACCTGTCGACGTCCTCAAGCATGATGACATCAAGAACCTAGAGGTCCTCGTGACGCAACTAGGCAGCAAGGTGGAGGCCATGGACGCCGCGCCCCCTCCTGAGACGGCGTCAAGGGAAGACATCCACCGGATAGAAGAGATGATTAACCAAGTCAAGGAAGCCATCGAGGGCCTGCACGGTGAAGAGAAAGAAAGTGACAGCAACACTGAGGCCGAGTCCGAGAAGCCCGATACTAGCCTTAAAGAGGATGTCGAGGCCATCGAGACTATACTGAGGAACACCAAGGCCCGTCTCGACGACATGATCGACGGTGAGACCGCCGTTCGCAAGGAGCATATTGACGGACTTGAGACCCTCATCCTCGAGACCCGCGAGACTCTCAGCTCGATCACCACTCAGATGGAGAACACCTCACGCCGTGAAGATGTCACAATGCTTGAGTCGCTCATTAGCCATGTCGCTGCTTCTTACGACGAGATGAAGGAGCGAGCAGACAAGGAGCTTGAGAACCCGGAGAGGGTTACTCGCACCGACATCGAGGCCGTCGAATCCGTTTGCATGGACGTCAAGAATCTCGTCACCGAAATCTCCAGCAGCGGGCTCTCTGGACTGCCATCGAAGGAGGAACTGACGACCCTTGTCACCGACCTCAAGGACCGCGTCGATGCCCTGAGCGAAGCCCAAACTAAGGCTATGGAGGAGCGTCAAGCCGAGATGGTCGACGTCGGCGAGCGCGTGAATGAGGTGAAGACTTTCCTCACCGAGTTCCAGGACATGACCAAGTCGCGACTCGCAGACGGCGTTGTCGGTATGCAGACCGTCGGCAAGTTGCTCGACAGGATGGGCGAGACCATCACTAACAACGCAACGGTCAGCGAAGACCTGCGGGAAATGTTCGAGGCGATGAAGATTGAATTCGAGGAGTCTCGCGCCGGCGTTGTTGGAGTCAAGCTCGAAGCCGACGAAAAGTTCCAGGCCACGACGGAGGCTTTGAGCTCCAAGATTGATGAGCGAGTCGACGAGCTCATGGCCAAGTATGACGAGTTCCAGGTCACCCTGGAGGAGCGGGCCAAGGCCGGCGAGGTGAGAGACGAGGAGACCGAGGCCGCTGTCATCAGCACCAAGGCGGTTGCCGAAGAACTCAAGCTTCTCATTGACACGCTCGGCTCGACCGTCACAGAATCTCTAGAGAAGATGGAAGAGGCGTCCAAGACCGTCTTCAACCGCGTTGAGGACCTCGTCACACGGGCGGACGAGAAGAATAGTGAAGACAAGGCCGAGCACGAGCAGACGCGCGACCAGGTCAAACAGGCCATCGCCGCCGTCGAAACCCTCCAGGGCCCCGTCCAAGAGATGCAGCCCAAGATTCTCGAGGCGATCAACGATATTCTCACGCTTGTCGGCCAGCATTACGACTATGCCAAGACTGCCACGACGGACATCCAGGACAAGATTGAGGAGGCTAAGCCCGAGCCGCTCATGCTGCCCGAGGTTGAGAAGTACGATGATGCCCCTGTCCAAGAGAAACTCGACAGGCTCATCGAGGGCAAGTACGACGACACTTCTCTCCAGGAAAAGATTGATAAACTTCTGGAAAAGGAGTATGACGACAGCGTTCTTCAAGAGAAGCTCGATAAGCTCATGGACAAGGAGTACGATGATGGCGCTCTCCATGAGAAGATTGACAAGCTCATGGATAAAGAGTACGACGACAGTACTGTCCAAGAGAAGCTCGACAAGCTCATGGAGAAGGAATACGACGATAGTACCATGCAGGAGAAGCTGGACAGGATTATTGCGGATAGGTACGACGATATTCTCGTCCAAGATAAGCTTGATCAGCTTATGGACAAGGAGTATGATGACAGTGCCCTCCACGAAAAGCTGGATAGGCTCATGGAGAAGGAGTACGACGATACTACCGTTCAGGAAAAACTCGACAAACTCATGGACAAGGAATACGATGATACCGCTGTCCAGGAAAAGCTTGACAAGCTAATGGACAAGGAATTCGACGATACTACCATCCAAGAGAAGCTAGACCGGATCATTACGGAGAGGTACGACGACATTTTTGTCCAAGAGAAGCTTGACAAGATTGTCGACCACACGCATGCCGCCGGCAAGGCTTATGCCCAGCTTGACACGCTAGACAAGATCCACGGCGAGGTCATCAAGACGGCGGCGGGCATCTCGGAGTTCCTTGCGGCTCAGACGCAGCGCATTGCTGATGAGCATGAAGATCGCTCCAAGACACTCCAAGAGACTACAGTTGCCCTCGAGCGCAAGACGACAGAGAAGCAGCAAGTCGAGGCTTCCCTTGCCGACTTGCGTGCCGAGGAGGAACGCCTCAGGCAAAGCGTGTTCGGACTCAAGGCTGAACAGGAGATCCTCACCAGGCAGAAGACAAGGCTCACAGCCGATGTGTCGTCTCTCGAGACGGCGCTTAGGCTGCGCAAGGAGGAGCTCAACGAGATGGAGGAGCGCGCCGAGGGTCTCGAGCGCAGGATCCTCGAAGGAGTCATGAATCACTCTCGGGTGCTTCTCATGTCCAAGGCGAGCAAGGGCAGCGATGCCATGAGCCGCAAGCGCGTCAGGGTCAAGGGCGATGAAGCGGCGGCAACGGGCGCCAAGGAGAAGTCTGACCGCCGCTCGGTGAAATCAACCGTCAACATTGCACTCTCCTCGAAGAGGAACCTCGTTCCCAATCCGGCGGGCGCATCAAGGCGCATCGTTTCGCTGAGCCAGATTACTCACAATGTTCCCGCGGGAGGTTTCAAACGCAGCCATAGTGTGAAGGCTCCTTCCGGCGTAGGACGCGCCGGTGCCTTGAGGAAGACCAGCTGGGGTGGCTCCCTCGCCAAGAAGAAGTACGGCGATCTCGACAAGGAGAACGTCGTCGAGCCGGTCAAGGAGGGAGACGAAGAAGATGATGATGACGACGGTGTCGCCCCCCACGGAGGTGAGCTCGTTGTGAGGAGGCGGAACATCCCTCTGCCTACCGAATCAGCTCTGTCGACGGGTAGCACCCTCAACGGCGGCGATGATTATGAAGAGGAGGAGATGGAGCACCTTGATGATGACGATGAAGAAGAAGACGGCCATGGTAGTGGCGCGGATGATGACGGGGAAGTGAGCGATGCGGGGACGTTGAGGAGGAGTAGCCGCGGCACGACGATAATCTCAAGCGCCGTGGGCACGGGAGATTACTCGGACGACGAGTCGTATGATAGCGACGACTACGATTCGCGGAGCGAGTGGACGGAGAGTGCGGTGGGGTCGACGTTGTCGGATATGCCGGTTGCTGGGAATGAGCTTGTGCTTAGGCAGCGGTGATGAGTGTGTTGGTGAGTGAATGGGTGAGTGAGTGAGCGAGTGATCGAGGGTGTTGTATGTAGCTGGGTCTTTTCTACTTCTCTCTCTCCGTCTCTCGTTTACACTCTTCTCTCTTTTGTCTTGGGGATCGACAAGGTGGTTCTTGAGCTGTTGGAGTTGGTTTTTCGCTTGGGAAGCCGAAAAAGAGTAGGAGGCACGTTTTATTGTGACGATTACGATATGTTATTTTGGTATGTCGGGGTAGTCTGGACATGTTAGCTGGTTTTTTTACGGCAGTAGTAGCCTTTTTCTATTCTGTTCCTCTCTTACTTTTAAGTTGACTAGGAGGAAACTCTTTGTTTTGATAGCAAGATTGATAAAACTTCTCCAATACTTTCTTGAGCACATGTAGTGAGCGTAAGGTGTAGATGATGAGGATGAGAGTCTATTGACACAAGGGATTGATGTATACAAAACTGTTTCTACATTTTAACAAAGACATTATATGATACACAAGCCTTCTAGAAATCTATCCAACGCAACTCTCACTCCTCGACCTTTTCAATCCTCTCCTTCCCATCCATCCAAGGCCTCAAACACTCCGGGATAACCACGCTCTTCGTCGCCTCATCCCACCCGTTCTCCAACAACGCAGCCACGACCCTCGGCACAGCCAACGCCGTCCCATTCACAGTCCAAGGAAACCCACCGATCCTGCCCCCGGCATCAGCAGAGCGCAACCGCGTCCCGAGGCGCCTGGTCTGATAATCTGTGCAGATGCTCGCGGAGGTGACCTCGCCCCAGCCGGCGTCCCTCTGGACCCTGGAGGGGAAGTAGGCCTCGATGTCGCATTTCCGCGTGGCGGAGGCGCCGAGGTCTGTGGAGGGCATCTCGAGGACGCGGCAGTAGAGGCCGAGGGAGCTGAGGATCTCGGTTTGGATGTCGAGGATTTCGTCGAAGACTTGTTCGGTGGCTTCTTGCTCGGGAGTCGTCCACGCGAAGAGTTCGACTTTTGTGAATTCGTGCACGCGGTAGAGGCCCTTTGTGTCGAGGCCGCGTGAGCCCGCCTCGGCGCGGTAGCACCGCGATGCCGCGACGCGGCGCAGGGGTAGCGACTCGGCGGGGAGGGTTGTGTCGGCTTTCATTCCCGCGAGAGCAATCTCCGAAGTGCCGGTGAGACAGAGCTCGGGGCGCCCGCGCTGCATATCTGATGCATCGCGCGCAATAGCGTAGATCTGCTGCTCGCCGTTCTGATCGCGCGGCTGAAACCCACAGGCATCAGCAACGTAGCTGTAGACCATCGTCGGGGGCGAAACCTGGCGCCAGCCGTGGCGCGTGGCCACTGCGAGTGCGTACTGCGTTAGCGCATGCTCGAGCTGCGCCGCGCCGTCGACGAGGTAATACCAGCCCCAGCCCGAGGCGTTCGCGGCGGCAGCGAAATCTAAAATCCCCAGCTCCGTGCCGATGTCGACGTGCGATTTCCCCGGTTCCGTCCTGCCGAACCCGGCGGGCGCCTCGTTGATGTAACTCAACAGCAGCGGCTCGTCACCCCTCGGCGTATCGTCACTCGTAAGATTCGGTATCGCCTCCGCAAGCCCCTGCATCTCCTCCATCAACCCAGCCTCAGCCTCCTCCACCCCCTGCAACTCCCCCTTCAACTCCCTCGCCCTGCGCAGGACCTTTTCCCTATCCACGACGGCCACGTTCTCCTGCCCGCCCTCGCCGTGCCCGTGATCGACCGTCTTCCCCGCCGCCGCCCTGATCCCCTGCAGAGCCTTCTTCGTGGCGTTGGCCTCCTCGCGGAGCAGGCGCGAGTCCGTCTGTAGTCTTTTCCATTGCTCGAAGAGGGAGCGGATCTGGAAGGGGTAGGTGCTTTGGCGGGCGTAGTTTCGTTCTATGCAGTTTTGGGCGTAGAGTTCGGGGTTTTCGCGGATGTGGCGGATGTCGATTATGGGTTTGGGCGCTGTCGTTGGTCTCTTTGGCGCTGCTGCGGAGGAGGTGGTCGAGTCGGCGGGCGGTGGGACGGGAGGTGGTGGGTGCGAGGAGGAATTGTTGGAGAGGTAGCGGGTTGGAAGGGGGGAGAGGAGGGTGAGCTTGAGGGACGGTCGGGCTTTGAGGCTGGGGAAGTGGAGGGACGTTGCCCTCGTTGCGAGTCGGGAGGTCATGTTGTGTGGCGAGAGGAGCTCATGCTTGGATGAGCTGCGAGTAAGGATCGAAGAGGGCCACACTTTGGCGGGATGTAACGAGATCAATTGATATCGCAGGTTCCAATAAGGTCGAGGCTTTTGTGCAAGTAGCTCGCGAGCAATTGGCGGAAGCTATTCTCAAAGGTGGAAGTGGTGTGGTCTTATTGATCCAAGGTCGAAAGCTCGATGCAAAAGCTCGTCGTGCAAGTCACCTCACCTGTTTTCGACCTCTCACGATGCGCTTAGTCATCACCTGTTGTGCCTTAAACTATCCGATCCCCTTCACCCTCCGTGCTTCAATTAAAGTACGAAGTACACCGATTATTGCTTAGAATGGGGACGGCCAATATTAGACGAGGATCTCGGTAGGGTCTGATCCAACGAGCACTGATAAAGCAAACACTAGTCATAATCATCGCATACTCTGCTGACATGGTCGCTGATGGACCCATCAACGATTTCGGCTGCCGCATCCTCCGTGTTCGTCCCCGAACGGGTGTCATATTCCCGTTCAGCTACCCCCAGCCCCCCGAGCTTGCGGCAGCTCTGGCCGAGGCCCAGGCGGCGGCTGGGATCACTGTGTCACGCCCAGGTAAGCTTCCCGTCCTCGTCGAAGTGCTAGCCGTCCTGACATGGCGGCCCACGTTTCGTTGAGAGGGCCTATAATCACGGCTTTGACGATCTTGACAATGATTTCTTCGATCGAGTTCAAGCAGGGGAGTTTAGAGGTGTTTAGCGGAGCGGTTAAACTAAATTGAAGTTTAGCGCTTTTGCAGCGCAAAGTCGCTTGGCGCCCAGACCTGGTCGTAGTATGCCATGCCCGAGGACGGATTTTTGCCACAAACTCACAGGCAAAGTTACTGTGGTTGGGCGTACTACTTCGTAGTACAAGCCGGGAAATTCAGTTTTGAGGAGGAGGTACTTTAAACCCCGTCCCACCCATCAGCACGTGATACGAAGGTGCCCGGTTCTTTCACGCCGCTTCCCACCCTTCGACAAGTCAACCGCGTCCCTGTCATCACCATGCCGCATATCACTGGTCAGGCAAGCCCGGTTTCAGAAACGCCTCGTTGAAATTCCAGCGCGCTGGACGGATGAGCAGACTGAGTTTCTTCGGTTCTCGTTTCCGCCGTGTCCGACACCTATAGCAACCACTGCAGGTGGTCACAAAGACAACCTCTCCGAAGTTCGATGGCAGCTGATCCAGCCGCGCTTCTCTTTTCGGCACTCAGCAATTGGAGCATGGTCTTCATCACCACTGAGACTTAACATGTTAAGTCTACTGGGCGGTCGGACGATCAGAACACTGGCATGTAGCGTTTAGGTCCGGATACCGAGGCGCAAGAGCTTCACAACTCCTCGCCCCCTCATGCACTATGCTCTTCGTCAATCTTTGGGTTCTTTGGGCTCATTATTATCACAGCCAGGAGAAGGGACCGGGGAGCAGCCCGTGATCGCACGTACTCCAGTAATAGACAAGGCAGGGGACGATTCTTCTGTTTCCTTTTATTTTAATTTTATTAGCTCTGGCAAAGTCTAGATTATATATGGACTTCATAGACCGTTGTCTCCTCTGCTCCAGCTAGCTTCCTAGCTTCCTCACATCTAGATATATAAACAGATGAATGTACATGTGTTCAATAGTATTACTACAAACTTTTAAGTATCTATATCCCTCATCTCGCAACGCCTCACTTACCCGGATTGTCTCTTCGAAGCATTGGGATATCAATCGTTCCAGGATATTACAGTAAATCCCATATTTATATCCATCCAAACGTCTAAATCCGGCAACCGCCCTCTCGCGTTCGCGAGCTGAGCGCTAGTCAACAAGACCAAAATTCGCCAAACGTCCTCAAACAAGTAACAGTAACGCCCTCCGCCACAAGGCCCCGGCTGAGTCTGTCTCTAGGAGGTGAAAGAAGACTTATCGTGTAGGTAAACAATGAACCGTTCAACTATCCAAAACAAAAGGGTCGTCTAATACGCAAGTACGCCCACGAACTCCAGCAACGTAAGTGAGATCATCAAAATCCCGGCAGCACGCACCTCGTTCGGAATCTCGACTAAAAGAAGAATAATAATAAAAAAAAAAGAGAAAAGGGAAGAAAGGGAGAGAAAAGAGATTGGAGGGCTTCGCATCTTTACCATCAATTCTGACGCATAGGCACAGGCGAAGCCCAAAGCTCTGCAGGTGCAGGTTCGTTCATCCCCGGTAGCTCGCTTGTCACTTTGCCCGGAGGACCATATGCAGAATACGCGTACGGTTGAGAACTATCGTACCTTGCGTCTGGCGGCAGCGTGTTCGCATGACTTTCCGTGGAGGGCGGCGACGATGCACCCTGTTGCCTCCTCCTTAGCAGGAACCACACGCCGCAGCCGGCGATGATAGCGGCGAGTGGGATTCCGAGCCCTAATCCCACTTTAAAGCCGGTCGAGTCTTGCGCCCGGTCGCTCTGTGCATCCGGGGTGGAAGAAGAATTTTCGGAGGAAGCGTCCGTCGTGCTAGTAGGGGAGCTCGAGGACGATGAGGAGGAGGAGGAGGAGGAGGAGGAAGATGAAGGGGTCGCCTTGTCATCTATTATGTTGCCTTTATTGTCGAGGAAAACTCCTTTTCCGGTAAAACAGCACGTGGAATCGTTGCTGCAGCAAAGACTCCCGTCAGAACATTGCCTTACGCGAGGGAAGAAATTGTTATGAAACTGAGTCTCGTCTACAAGAAGTCAGTCAGCTGAAAAAGGCTCAGAAGCCAACCCCTTCTCGCCCCCAAAAATACCAAAATGGCAAAGGGTAGATCCATACTGTAGACGCATATCGATGCGCATTTGCTCTCGTCGTAGTGGTCGTCCGCACATGGGCCCCTAACGAAGGTATCCTGGGGGTCACCGGGATTATGACAGAGCCTGTTGTCCAGGCACGTCGCGTTGACACCGCAGCATGCTCTAGACCCGGGACATATGACTTGATCTGCGTAGGCAAGTCCGTTGACGCCGTAGCATGTAGTGGCTGTTCGCACTGCGGTGGTGAATATGGATGCGAAGGTCAGGAAGAAACAAAGTGCTCTGCCAGTCATTTCTTGTTAAGGTGAGAGCCTCTAAGGCATTAGTGAAGACGACACGTAAAAGAAGATGGTCGATATTCCCGAAGTACTGAAAGACCTTTTAAAAGTACTGAGCCGAAAATTTTATATATTCGGAACGGAGCGAGGGAAAAAAGGAAAGGATGGGAGGGTTCCAAGGAGGGCACTTCGCCATAAGAGCCACTCTCGGCGGTTTCATCATCGTCTTGAACGCTTTCCTATCAGGATTCTCGGGATTCTCAGGATGGAGGCCGACTGCAATGTGAAGTTGGCTCCAATATAATTACTTAGGGGACTAACACAGCGTTTGATTGATTGCGGGGCATGCAGGTTGCCCGTCCCAAGCGGTCCCAAGTTGCCATTCGCTCCGCCCCTTTGCCGCCGCCCCTTTGCCGCCGCCCGAGGGCGAGGTGTTTAACTCATTGGCCGAAGTCACCACGGATGGCATCAATTGATATGCTGATCGGCGGCTCCTGTCCGGGCATGCATGCCAGTCCAAGGACTCGAGGCGAGCGAGGTAGATTCCGGGGAGAGAAGGATCAGAATGCCAGTTAGTTGTCACCAGAGTACAAGTACTCGTCTTTTTCACCTTCCAATCTTATCAGCTATGTAGCCCATTCCTCATTTCCTTCAGTTCCATATCCTTCGGACTCGATGATTTTCGTTGCTCAGTCGATCCGGCTCACCCGCTTTGCGACCGCTGTTCTTTGGACGGCTGGCCTGGCTGCTGTTTTCTTCATCCTGTCACCCTATAATCCCCATCGATCTTCTTTTTCTTCTTCATTATCATGAGGACAAGACTCATTCTCAGGAAAGGGCGGACAGCCAATGTTCACCGAGGAAGAGATAGGCCACATCGAGCAGATGGTGCAATCCTTCGCAGACTCGCCTGTGCGGCCACCATACAAGGAAAAATTCGGTGAGCTAGGCCAGAGAGCACAGCAGCTTCGGAACTGGATGGCCTTGGCCGAGGCCTCGCCAAACATGAACGAGAAGAAACGCCTGGTGCGAGCGGTCGAGGTCGCCGCGTCTTCACTGTTCCCATTCCTGCAGCGTTCCCCGCGCAATCCACATTCCGACACGCCCTTCGCGGACCTCTTGGATACCTTCGAGCCGGGAACGAAAGGAATTGTCCTCCCGACTGGCTCGGGAACCCTCCGATACGCCTACCACCTAATCAGCTCTCTGCGGGACGTCATCTCCTGCACTCTCCCCATCGAGGTAGCCTATGCTGGCGACCACGATCTTTCCCCCGCGGATCGCGAGCAGCTTCAGTCACGCTTCGGCGACATCCGGTTTAGTGATGTCCTGGATGTATTCGACGACGACGCGGTCGACCTCCGGAACGGCGGGTGGGCAATCAAGCCATTCGCGGCTTTGGCCAGCTCGTTCGAGGAGGTCATTCTTGTAGACGCCGACGCCGTCTTTCTCCAACCACCCGAGACCCTGCTGAAACAAAAGTCGTACGCCTCAACCGGGGCGTTGCTATTCCACGATCGCCTGCTCTGGAAGGGCGCTTTCAAAGAGCGGCACGAGTGGTGGACATCTCAAGTCACCCATCCCAGCGCCATGCTGAACAGGTCGCTCGCCTTTACGCAAGACTACGCGGAGGAAGGCGACTCGGGTGTCGTCGTCATGGACAAATCTCGCTTAGATGTCCTCGTCGGCCTGCTCCACATCGCCTGGCAAAACTCGAAAGAAGTAAGAAAGACGACTTACGAGATGGGACACGGCGACAAGGAGTCTTGGTGGTTCGGCTTCGAGCTGACGGGGTCGCAATACGCTTTTGAGGAGCACTACGCTAGCATAGTCGGCTGGCTGGAAGAGCCTACGGCGAAAGGCGAGGCGAATCTCTGCAGTTTCGTGATTGCCCATGTCGATGAACGGGATAAGCTCCTATGGTATAATGGCAGCCTCCTTAAGAATAAGAAGGTGGATAAGAAGACGTTCGGTGTTCCCACGCATTGGATGGTTGACGGGACCTGGATAAAGGGTCCGTCCAGACAGGCAATGAGCTGCATGGTGGGAAGGGAACCTGTAGAGCTCTCGGCGGAGGAACATGCAATTATTAGCGAATCGGTTAGTCTTGCAAAGGCGCTTGACTTGGAGTTTAGGTTGGAATGATCATCAAATGGGTTATGCGGCGTTCGGTACGGGATCTGTCTCATGGATTGTAATATAGGATGTAATTTCAGATTTGTTCCTAGCCAGAAGAAGCCTGCGCGTGGCCCGTACAACTCGGCATGGTCGTCAAGACCAACTCCCCTCTCGTCCACAAGGCCGGCGAGGGTGTGATGGAGTTCCTCCTTGCTAACTATCCCCTGGACTGCCCCATCTGTGACCAGGGAGGCGAGTGCAATCTCCAGGACCAGTCGATGCGATAAAGTGCTGACCGTGACCGATTTTACGAGATTGGCAGCAAGCGTGCTGTCGAGGACAAGAATATTAGACCCCTTATTAAGATGTCGATGAATTGATGCATCTACTCCGTACTGCACGTATTGCATTTGATTCGCTAATGATGTCGTTGGTGCTTATGATTTGCAGATCGGTACCTACATACCTTGAGAGGAGCCTAGGCTCTGAGCTGTTTGCTAACCTTATCGACCTCTGCCCTGTCGGTGCTTTGACCTTGAGGTCCTATGCTTTCCGTGCTAGGCCCTGGGAGCTTAAGTAGACCAAATCTATCGACAATCTAAGAGCGAGTTCAGGTTCAACTTCATCTCGTTTCACGCATCTTGGGATGAGGAGTAGATTGATAAAGACTCAAGAAATTCTTTAAATTGTAGTTTACAATTAGTTCTATACGTTTCGGGTATCTCATATCCCCAACAACTGAAAATTGGAGACAAAAAAAAAAAAAAAAAAAAAAAAAAAAAATGAACCGTAAACCTGGCCCAATGTTCCTTCATATGCCCTTCAATCCTAGCTGTCGCTTATTCTCCATCAGATTCGATATCTTCTAAACCATCGTCGCTCTCCTCCTCCGCCTCCGACAAGACCACCTCCTCAAGCACCTCCTCACCCTCCTCACTCTCATCCTCGCTGCTGCTGCTGCTACTACTGCTCTCACTCTCACTCTCGTCGCCATCCTCCTCGACCTTCCTACGAGAAGAAGGCCCAGGCGCATCACTCAACACCTCCCCATCCTCCAACTCCTCCACAAGCTTCCTCCTCTTCGCCGATCCATCCCCATCACCCCCAACACTCTTCCTCTTTTCCCCTTTTATTTTCGGTGTCGACTTCACCGCAAAGCCGGACGGTATCTCAGCCCCAACCTCGACGGCATAAATCGTAGGATACTCGAGCACCACCCTTCCGCTCAAAACATCATGTAACTTCTCCTCAGGATCAAACGGGATTAATGTGGTAGCCGCGCTCGATGTCGTAGGGGGTCGTGAGAGATAGAATGACACCCGCCCCTTTAACGCCTCGATGGCATCTGCAGAAACGGTATTCGGCCGCTCCTGGTGCGCCCTGTTGTCGATCCACTGCGTCGTGCGAGGGTTCTGCACGCAGATCGTCGTCCCAGGGACCCAAGTGCCCGTGTTCTCATCCTGGAACGTAAAACTCAAAGGCTTCACCGCAGCAGCCACAACCCTCGCCTCCTGCTCCTCGGCGCCTTTTCCCAAACCCCTCGTCTTCCGGTTCATCAAAAATGCCTCGCACACCCTCATATCATCCACAATCTTCATCGTCACCCTCTCCCTCTCCCCTCCGTCCCTCCTCACAAGAAACACCTCCACAAACCACTCAACCCTCCTCGTCCTCCTAAACCACCTCGTCTCATTCTCCTTCCGTCTACTCATCCCCACCGGCGCCCTAACAGCTCTAATTCCAAACCTCCTCAACCGACCCCCCATCTCCCCCCACCCATCCCCATCCCCATCCTTCCTCAACGCCCTCGTCACAAGCACCCTCCTCATCTTCCCATCCTTGTACCTATACTCGACATTATCGACCGTAACGGGCCTCAGCTCCCCCCGTTTTATTATCCCTTTTTCTTCCACCAGGAACCCCTCGCTGCGCTCGCGCGACCGCTCGATTGCGCTGATGAAATTATAGTCATGGTCTACGCCCGCGGGCGTCGCGAGCGTTCGCTTGGGGACGTAGGCTGTTGCGTCGCGCACGCCGCTGCAGGATGACCAGGATTTGTGTTTGCGGATGCAGCCGAGGGAGCAGGTTCGGGTGGAGCAGCGGGGGCATTTGTATTTTGGCGGCGCGATGTGGCAGATTGCGCAGAGGTTGGTGAGGAGGGTGTCGGCCATGGTTGCTTTCTTTGGGGTTGTTCGCGATGGGGTGTCCCCTTCTTCCGAGGGGTTTGGCGGCACGAATCGAGTGGATTGTTGCGGATTGTAGGATCGGATGGAGATAGTGATATATAATATATGTTAAGTACGTATAGGCATCGGCGGTGACCTAGTCGAATCGGTGAGAAAAATAAGAGCACAGAGCTATTTGAAGTTGAGCATGTGTAAATGAAGTGATAAGAAGAGTGTTTCCTCAAGGAATCAAGACCAAAAAGTTTCTTATCGATAAGAAATTCGAAAAGTGACTTCGCATCTTGGATTTGCACTTTGGGTCTAGCGCAGTGGAGACAAAGTATGCACAAGTACGAAGTACATCATTGATCCATCGCTCGCTTGGCCAAGACAAGTGCGACCTCCGACCTCCAAGGCTCGAAGAACCCAACAGCCAAGATATATTTCAAACTCTGAGCTTCTAACAACAAATCTCAATAATGAGAAGGTAGGAGGAAGATGGAGAAGAGTATATCGGAAACTAGCTACAAGCACAGATAACATACTGAAAACCTTAGAGTCCTGGCCAAGAGAAAAAAAGCTGAACGTAACCTCACCCGACCCGAGTTGGGTCTCTTCTGTCTCCTCCAATTTCATGTTATAACCCTTCGACCCTCGTTTCCTCCTTCAGGACCTTTCTTTTCCTCCTCGCCAAATCAGCGATGAAACAAAAAACACAATCTCAAGAAGAATGGAGGTTCAATAAAAGTAAGCTATTGAGATTTTCAAGCGAAAGGCTTGAATACTAAACACGATACATAATAAAAATAACAGTCAAGACGCCTTAGTACAAACGATTCAAGAGACAAAGCAAAGTAAAGACGGTATAAAGCCCCAAACCTTTTTTGACATCTCCCAGCCAAGAAAAAAAAAAAAAACGTTGTCACTATAAACAAGAATTATAAGAAAAAAAGAAGAATGTGGATCGTAGACAAAAAGAACACACATGAGGGCGCAATGACATCTCATGGCTTGCTCCAATATGCAAAAGCCAGTAGGTAGAGACATGTGTTAAGCGTCGATGACAGAAGACTGGGCTGTATAAAAGGCCCGAGGAATGCTATTCAGATATACGAGAGTGAGCGCGGAAGAGCGCGAGAGAAATGGTATCATGCATAAAATGGGTGCTCAAAGGCACATCACTCCCGATTTAACGGGTTCCGCCGAGGGCGCTAATCCTGGCACCAGACGGCCTGTGGATGAGGCCCTCGGCGTGCTTGCCGACCACGACGTCGTGGGGGAGAGGATCGGCATCGCTCCTTGACTCCTCAAAGTCCTCAGCATCGTCCTCGACGATCTTGGTGGGGATGTCGTCCCGGACCATGAACTGCTGGCTCGAGCGCTCTGGCGTCGTCGCCGTAGAGGTGAACGACATGGCTGTGCTGCTCCTGTTGGGGATGAGATCAGGAGTGGGAGGGATGCTCGAAGCGCGTCCCGAGGAGGGGTGGAGGAGGCTATCATCGCCAGCCTCCGAGGTGACGGCGGACTGCGTGCCGTCCTCGCTGGCCGCGGCCGAGAGAGCGCTGTTGCGGCGCGCATTTCGGATCTGCTCGCGGATTTCAGCGTCCTGAGCGAGTTGGAGACCTTCGACGGCAGCCTGGCATTGCTCCGCGATGTTGCGGATGATGTGCGCGATGGCGTCCGTCTTGTCCTTAAGGTGCCTGTCGGCAACGTCGTGGAAGCTCGAGCTCGAGAACCGCTTGCTGTTGCGCACGGCGTTGAGCATGTGCTCATCGAGCTCATCCTCAGGAATCTCACCATCGTAGCCGTCCTCGAGCTCGGCGACGATATCCTCGGGCTTGGTCAGCGACTCGACAATGTGCTCCATGTGGTGGCGCTGGCCACTGATGAGGCTGCGGAGGTGGAGCACCACGCGGCGGGCCTCGTCGCGCTGGCGCAGAATAGTAGCGTTGGTATGCTGGAGAGCAGCCAACTCCTTCTTGTTCCTCTTGCGCTCGCGCTCGAGCTCCTCCGCGATCTCCTGCTGGAGGACGAGAGCCTCGAGAGCGTCGTCGCGCTGCTTCTCCGTACCGGCAAGACGGACAGACATGCGAGCATTGTCGTCCTTCTGCTGGTCGAGCAGACCAGCAAGACGGCGGTTCTCCCTCTTGTGGTTCTCGATCTTGACCTTGAGGTCTTGGGTCTCCTTGGTGAGCTGCTCGGCGAAGGCCTGGAATTTGAGGAACTGTGAAATTTGTTAGCGTTCAGATCGAAGCAAAAACGAGGAAACCCCCGAGAGTTGTCTGTACTCACCTGCTGCTTCCAGCTCTCCAACTCCTCGACGAGATAGTTGTTGCGCTTGGTAACCTTGCTGAGCTCGGTATCCATGCGGCCCTTGAGGTTAATAAAGTCCTGCCAGGCCTCGAGAGCATCACGAGAGTACTGGTTGCGCTCGCGGACAATCTCGTTGAGGTGGCGCATGGAGACCTTGGTCATCAGAGGCTTCTTGACGGAGCCACCGAAGACGGCCTTGAGACCAGTGTTGCGACCCATCTTCTCACAGACATGGTCCATCACCGTCATGACGGCATCTTGGTTCCACCACTCAGGATCCTGAATAGACTCGACCTCACCGCGCATGACGATGATCTGGCCGGCGGGAACGAGCTTACCACCACCGTAGGCGGATCGAAGATGCTGAGGAACACCGGAGGGCGTGACATCGCCGTTGAGAGACTGAGTGAGGCGGGTGACGAACTTGTTGCGCTGGCCAACAGTCAGGGCGGTGGGAGGGCTCGATGTGAGAACGAAGTTGCGGTCCAAGTCGACAACAAGCGCGTCGGTGGGAGCGGTGAACAGCGACCTGCACTCCGCAGTGATACCAAGGATGTACGGACCGGGCTCCTGAACGAGCTCCTTGGCGTGACGGGCGTGGACGACGGGGACATAGAGGCCGCTCCACTCGTAGACGCGAACGCAGAATCGGACGGTCTCAGCAGCCATCGTCAACATGGCGGGGTAGTGGCTGACGAAGATGATTCGGCGAGTGGGCGAGATAGCGGCCTCGATGACGCCCACAATGTTGGGGATCGACAAACAGCAGAAGAGAGGCCACATGGCGAAGTTTTGGAAGCCCGTGGGCGAAGAAGGGAACTGATAGCACAGAGCATAGTCCTTCATGTCGATGCGGACCAGGTCGTTGAGTCGAGGAGCGGGGAAACTGAGGATGCGAGACACCTCCTCAGCGTGGAACAGGTTAGTGGCCTTGTTCCAGTGGATCCACATGCCTCGAAGGTAATCGCCAAGGAGGTTGTAGAGGGGGTATCGAGAAAGGAACGACAAGCAGTAGGGGATCCAGTAGGTCTCGTCGGGGTTGTCGTAAAAGTCCGACTCCGTACGTCGTCGGAGATCACGAATCGTCTCAGCTCGCTTCTCATCGGCGCGAGACCAGACGCGAAGGCAGATACCGTAAAGGGTGTGAGAAGAGTCCTGCTGGAGGACGAAGGCATGGTGAACGCAGTGAGGCTGGCTACGACCAGTGCAAATCTCGACATCGTGAGGGAAGCAAGCCTATAATACAAGTGTTAGGAGAACCATTTCTTCCGAAACGCGCCAATTCGCGTTCACTACAGAAAATTTGTTGACAATCATCGAGAATAACAAGGGACGGGGGTGTTAGTTTACCCTCATGGCAGCATGCAGAGAACGAGCAATCTCGTTGTCCTGCTCCAACCTGGGGCTGCTACCCAGAATCTCAGGAAGCCAGAACTGGCCAACAGCACCCTTCATGTGACCGATCTTGCCCTGAGCTGGGGCGGGAGCCTTGACCCACTGAGAGGGCTCACGGCCAACACCGCATACCATGTAAGCATGGGTGAGGGTCTTGGGCGTCCTCTGCTGGGGCTTCACGTTGAGAGTCGACGGAATCGGTTGAGTAATCCGAGAGTGGAGAGACGAGGTCCTGCTGGGGATAATGAGGCTGGTGTCACCCTGATCGCGAGTGCTAGGACGACCCTCGCGATCACCCGTCCGAGGACGGGTGAAGGATGGGTGGGCAGTGAGAGAAGGCGCCATAGTTTACTAAAAGACAACAGGCCGACTAAGGTAAATTCTAGAACGAGAATCGGTAGAGTCGACGTGGGATCGTGGTGTTGGTTCCAAGAAACAGAATAGGATCCTATGAAAGAGAGGCGACCTCGCGCTTCTCAATTGGAATATATGGGCCGTTTGAACGTAGAATTCCACCTGCGGCAAAAAGCTGAATAGAAACGGGTCAAGGAAATTCCTGGACAAATCGATCTGGAGAAGCTGGAAACTGTTCAGCCGCGAGGCTCGAGTGTTGCCATTCGCGAATCAGTCTGTCCACCAGCGATTGAAGGTCGAAGACAGGGCTGGCCGGCACACACACACGCAAATGTTGGTGATGTGGGTGAAAAGATAAAGTGAAAGAAAGCCGGACCCAACTCGCTACGTCCTAAGACAAGAGGGATGGGATGGGGAAGGTCAAAAGGGACGGAGCAAAGAGGTGCGAGGGCGGACTGGAAGGGAAAAGGAGAAGGTCAATGAGAAGGGGACCAATACCCATACCAGAGCCAATAACCCAATAAGGGGGGAGACTAACAATCAGAAAGGGGATCGACCACCGAGAAGCCGGGACCTGGACAAGGACCGGGACCCTGCGCCCTATTTTACTGAAAGTGGTGTAATAATACGGCTTCGATACGGTAATAGCAATTGATACTATGATGTACGTACCATTCGTCTATTTTACAGGTACTTGGTCTGCCTGTGCCTGCCCGCATCAATCAAATCCTACTGCTTCCATAGCTCCTTCTCACAACGGCCCATGTCCACTATGATATGGACCAGGTGTACTTCGTACTCCGTACATCGCTCAAGTTGTCTAAGTAGCGTATTATACAACTGGATTAGATCTTCCAAGTCTGGTTTTACATGTACCCGTTTACTCACTAAAGACAAGCAGAGACAGGCTGAAGAAGGTACCTACAGGCACGCTAATAGGAAATATTACCATTCATCATCCTCTCAACTTCGCGAATGCTACAAAGACCAGAGCTAAACATGGGGGGGCTGGGGATTGATGGATGGGCATGGGGTGAGCCTGGTTCGTGTCTTGTAGTGCGTTTGAAGACCGTAAAACGGGAGGGTTTGACACGGTACAGTGCAAAAAGTTGTCAGAAATCCACGGCATCTCGTCTCGTTTTTTGCTTGCCGTGGGCAGGTCGTCGAAACGGGCCAGGGCTGCGTCCATAATGCCGCAGCATTATTAACCAGTCATCTAAGACAGTCGAAGGTGAGCCCCTGAGCCACACGACAGGATTGGAAGCACTACCGAATGCTTTGACGGAATGGAGTTAAACCCCGTGAACCATGAAGCTGAGCGATAGTCCATACTTGTATTTTCCACCATGAAGAACCAGCGACTCGAAGGCTTCTTTCCAATTGAGTTTGAAACCCAAGAAAAAGACAATCAGTGACCGCGCTCGCAGGGACACTATCCAATCTCCCACCGTATTCTTGGAAGATTATCGAAGGCGAGAAGACCGTTTCCTCTCAGCCGTGCTATTCCCTTTGCGTCGGGTACTTTGGTATAGGATACATGTATTGGTCAATGTGCGAATGTGGGAGCATTGGCCTCCTTGCAGCTACCTTTCTTGGAAAGGCACTGCCCAGGAGAGCAGGTATCACGTACCTTCCTCTAAGCTATGTAAAGTATGTACAACAGGTAATAGGTACAAGGCGAAGGGGCCACCCCAATCTTTCCCCGATGCAATGCATACGCAGGGGACCGTGGGTCACAGGTGGTAACATCAATGTCCAGTCCCAGGTCCCAATGGACACAGTGTAAGTGACCAAGAAAGAAGAATAATGAGCTCAGAAGGAACACTGGGAGCTCTCTCTCTTTCGGTTGATAGCAAAACGCTTCTCAGCGGGCGCAACTTGGTACAAGTGCTGCATGTGAAGGAAAACCACCCGAGCCTTCAAGCAGGGCACATGAAAAGCACGAAGCAAGCTCACTCTTTACTTGTGCAGCGCAGCTTACCTGTACGAAGTACTTGGTGAATCTGCGCGAAGACGTTTGAAGATGAGAGCCAGATTGGCACCGGCACTGGCAGATACTGGGGCATGTTGGAACCCTGCCAGATGGAAAATTGGGACCCCACTCCAAGCACCACAAGGCAGACCATCAATCTTATTAGGGCGCCGTATGTGGCAATTCTGCTCTCTTTGGTCATGGAGAAGCACCCATAATAATACATAATAATACGAGAGAGTCCGTCATTCTTGGTTTCTGATGTCACCGCACGCGAGGCCAGGCCCATCCTTTGACTTCAAGGACGGATCTTGCGGGTATATCAGTCGAATTAATCTTATAAGGGTAACCTCCATTTCCTTGTGCGAAGTTGGTGAATGAGACGCCAGCGATGGGGGTTTTATGACGCCGTTAGTCCGTCTCTGTCACTGTCACTCTTGTCAAACCAGAGCTCATCCGAACCTGGTTCTTGCGACCGAAAAAAGGGCAAGATCCACTCAACTATAAGATACATTCCGAGCCTGGAGAGCAGTGCCCGTTGCCACTCTCCTCTTGGCGTCCGTAATCGCTTGTGCTTTTACTTTCCGCATTGAGTGTGGACATGAGGGAAATTTGAATCGGTTTCTCGGTGCAGTTTGCTTGACAAAACACGGTCTAAGATCTGCCTATGGGGGGGAAGGGGAGGGAGCAACATTGATACATGAAGTATTACAAAGTACACTTCAGTCGCGCAAGTTTTGAACGTTCAATCCCAACAAGCTCCAAATTCCCAGCTGGCTGGACTTGATGCTACGACGCCACGTTCCTGGGGCCCTGAGTCTAAGATTCGAATCAATTTCAATACGTTTGACGATAGATTCATCCCAGTCTTTCTCAATCATCCAGTCGACGAAAGGAATTACCGAAACAAAAGCTGATATTATCAATCCAATACCATGAGCCTTTCATCCTTCGCGGAATCCCGAGGGACTTGTTTTCCCCCACGTCCCTCGTCGATCCCCGCTCGGGTACATCAACTTGAGGTGGGTTCTACTTCGTAGGCAAAGAATACAAAGCACTGTTTTTTTGACGGAAGGGAGGAGACAAGACCAGAAAAACGTGCCCCAAGTGTGTGGTTTTTCTCGGTCTAGGAGCAAGGTACCACCTATACGTACAAACTATTCCTTTGGCCCCTCGTGGAAGTTGCATTTCCCCCATTCTTGGTGTTGCTCCTTCGTACAAGCACCTGCTCTGCGCTTTGACCGTTGCTCATCACCAAAGATTCATCCATCCGGTCCTTTTCGGTTCTCTAGGTCTTACTGCAGTCAAACAGTCGAACGAAGTAAACATGCCGAGTGCGCCGCGTATCAGTACAGCCAAGTGCAGAAAACCTGCAGGTCGGGTGATGTGCTCTACAGGAAGCTCGGCCGAGCTTGCAGATATCTACAATACAGCATGTGCGAAATATGACTTCTTGCCTCTTGACAGGTCCACGCCAAAAGAAGCGGATGCAAGAGCTACTTTATCCAAGACCCAAAGCGCTCGAGAGCTCAGTGCGCCGAACCAGTTCTCGAAAAAGAGATGGCGAAGGAGGGGAAACAACAGAATCCATTAAATTCGTCATCAATCCATGAAAATGTCTCGTTTGCTTTTCGAATGTCATCGTCGAGGAACATTCTAGGTCTAGTGGCAGGGGTTCACTGTCTCTCCTTACCAGAAGAGGGAAAAAACAAAGCCCCAAGACAAACGGAGTCCCGAAACAATAGGGAAATAAAAAACCAGGTTGGCTGCAGGCAGAAAAGTGGCGAAAGGGAAGAGAGATTCTCGCGTCCCGAAAATCTGAAACATGAACCTCTCAGCTAAGTATAGCTCCCCCTTGTTAGATTTCCTTCGATTTTATCTCTCCACCCTCCCTTGCCTCTGGTCTCATTCCGCCTCCCCACCTCGCCTTTCGCCCACTTTCGCTTCTGCGGGTTGGGAAGCAGGTTGGTTTGTTTCGGGTTGGGCTTCTGTACGGGGCAATAATCTATTTGATGGCATGCTTGTTCCTTTTTTTCTCTTCTCCTTTGCCTTGCTCCTCTGCCCCTCGCAATCTGCATCCTTCATGAGATGATTGCGCTGAGGTGAGTCCTTCGTAAACACTTTCTGTCGCCGTAGTCTTGTGCCGATCGATATTACCACGAGCGCTCGGGGATTGAAAAAATGTCCCGCAGCTCATCGTCACCGAGTCCAAGCGTCGGCGCCGTTTCTCCGGACCCTCAAGAACTGCGACATATCTGGCAGGTCAAGTAGGTACTTAGAGCCATAGAGGCTTTTGAGTATAGTATAGTTCATGTTGAAGAGTGGCCCAGGACGACGCATTCTCTCGGAGTGCGGCTCTATCTGCCTCGTCATCCATTCGTTGTAGTTTTAAGAGGTCATAAAGCTATCCAAGCCGAAAAATCGAAGCTGCTAGTTAATATCTTGTCCCCTCATATGTACTCGGATTCCTAAGCATTCTCGGCTCTTTACAGAACGATTCGAGAATTATTTAAACCGCGTTATATATACCTCATGACACCTAGATGGGAGAACTTTTAGCTGTATCCAACTTAAATGTTTCCGTGAGCTTCCACCTCAAGAACTAGCTCACGCCCTCTTTAACCTCGTCTATGATTTAACCGCGTTCGTTTGATGTACTCGTTGCCAATGTCTAGAATGTCAGACGCGAGTTGTAAAAGGCACAGGGTTTGAGGGTGCACCGATGGACATGGAGGGGAGGGCGTTTGAAGCATCGAAGTGTGTATTCTGAGAGCGGAATTGGAGCTATAATCTGCAGACTTGGTGCTTGACAAACATCACGAAACCTCAGCAAATCACCACAACCGGAAACAAAGATCTACAATCCCCGATTCAAGTCAACACTCTAAAGGTGCAATCCAACCCCAAGCACCTCTTTGCATGAACCTACCTAGCATAACGTCGATCACGGGAATCTGCGACCCTATCTGCTCATCCCACCCCGCTGTCATCAAGACAACCTCTAAAGGACAAAGACAGCAGTCGTTTCAATCGTCTTCCCTTGCCCATTTCTATACAGTTAGCTGCACAGAATTCGGCATCCCCGATGCTCTTGAGATAACCTACATAGCCTAAAGCTCAAGAATCTATCGCCTGATCCCGCAGGGTCAACAGAGAAGGGATATCCCAGCCACTACTCATATCTCTCACCATCTCAAGCTCAGCATTAGAATCTCTTGACAGCCCGAAAAGGGGTAGTCAGTGTGAGTTGTTGACCACTTACACGAAAAAGCACTCTTGCCGACCTCACCCGATCTTCACCGTAACAGATGCAAGATAAAGAGCTGAATCAAGACAAGACATGCATACACTCCACGAACCATTGCCTGCCACCTCTTTCCACAAACCCACTCGAAGCAACGAAAAAGAAAATACAGTCCCAGATCTCTCCGATCTCCACATCTTCGCAGACCAAGACATGCCAACCGGCAGAAACTGTAGCATCGATCGTCGTAACCCTTTTAATTCCGGTCCATCGGGAAACTCTTAAACACGCTTCTAGAGGCAACCACTATCGAATGCGTCGCTTTGCTTCTTTTATTCCATTGATCCTAGCCCCGAAGAACTTTTTTGCGTCCAGGCTGACTTATACTAGACACAAGTACTCTCACGCACACACGACTAGAAACGTAGAAACACCAAACACGCCAGAGAAGCACAATTCAACTAAACAGCAAACACCGACGAGAACACTATCCCTTCATCACAAAGCAAGCGGCTATAAAAAAGCAAAAGCACCGTTCTAAAAAGAAAAGAAACAAGAAAAGGGAGAAAGAGAGCAGCTCCACGTTCATCCAGACTCCGTTCGAGGGTGTCTGTCTCGTTATGTCCTTCTTCAGCCATCGAGATATCTTATACATCTGCCAAGTACGAATGCATCCGCCAACGTAAACCTCCCTTCAAACACACCCACCCCCTGTTTTCCCAAAATGAAAGAAAGAAACGCCACGAATACGGCAACCGCTATCCAACCCACTCATTCCTCATCCCCTCTCTCCGCCACCTCCCCCTCCTAAGACCTCAAAGTCTCAAGCTCCAACTCAAGCTGCCTAATCCTCTCACTCTGGTCCTGCGACCCAGACGTGACCCTCCTCTTCAGCGTCTCGACCTCCTGCGTCAAGTGAGTGATCTGCTCGCTCTGCGCGCGGATGAGCCCGTGCTGGGCCTGTATCAACTCCTTGATCTCGCGCAGCGAAGAGGACACATCCGCCGGTGTGCCCGCACCACCGGCAGCAGCGCCGCCGCTCGAAACAGAAGTAGAAGAGAAGACCGGGGTGGCCGTGCTTATCGGTGACCGGACGGGCGCCTTTGCAGGCGACCGAGATCTCGGCTCCTCTCTTACGGGAGGAGGAGCGGCGGCGGCAGCGGTAGTTCGTTGAGGTGGCCTCGAGATCTCTTCGAAACTCGAGGCATCGTCATCGTCGCCGCTGTCATCCTCCTCTTGGTCCTGGTATTTGTTGGCCATGGCCGAGATGGATGCCTTCTGGTCGGCCGCCGACACGGGCTGGCGCTCTGGGACAGGGGCGGGAGTGGGTTTGGGTTCCTCCTTCAGGACGGGTTTCGCTGAAGGGGGAGGCGAGGCGAAAGATGAGGCAGGAGGCTTGTAGTCGGAGGCTACTTCGACGGGTGCCTTGCCATCGTATACGCTCTCGAGGTCAATCTTGGGAGGGAGACCCGACTTGCCGTCGAGCCATTCCTTGGCGCTCACGGCGGGTTTGAGCCCGGTGGCGGGGGGGTAGATGTCGGACTGGAAGGTCTCGGCTCTGCGGGGGACGGTGAAGGAGATAGGCTCGATGTAGGTGTCATTGACCGTCTTGTAGGCTCTCATGACTTCATTCTCATGGACCTAGTAGATACGAGTCAGTAAAAAGTCACCGTAGCGCTGGAGTGCTGTGTGTCCTTGGAGATAGGTATTAACTCACATGTAGACCACGCCTGGGAAGGAAGGCGATGCCTCTTTGGGGATCACCCGACTTGTACTCTGTCAGGAACTCGAACTTGTCGTTCTCGTACTCGAAGTAGCGGATATTTCCGTCACTGTGATAAAACCATTAGCCATCTTCGGCCTGTCTGAATGCGACATCGTCAACCTACCCCTTGCCAGCCAGGTACAAGCAGTTCGAACCCTCGTCTGTAGACATCCAGATTAGCATACCTCCTTACCAGCACTGCGGAACAAATGGGAGATGAGAAAGAACTCACCCCAGAAGGGCATGCAAACACCAGAAATAGAGTCCAACATAGTGAATCCGCCAATAGGCTCCGGATTACCCGGCTCCCAAAGCGCAATCTGCCTCTCACTCATCCTCGAGAAGCCCGTCGTCGCGATCCTGTTATGCTCGCCCATCCAGACGGCCCTGCTGTTCTTGGCGCCCGCGTGGCCGGCATGTTCGCTGACGGCCCTCTCCTGGCGCACGTCCCACACGCGGATCTTCTTGTCGCGCGACGTCGTCGCCAGCAGCGTACCCGTGGCGTTCCAGGTCAGGCTCTGCACGATGTCGTTGTGGCGCAGGGTGTGGTGGGCCTGGCCGGCAGAGATGTCCCAGAGCTTGATGGTGAAGTCTCCCGACGCGGAGGCGATGATGTTTTCGGCGGCGGGGTTGAAGAGGACTTGTCCAACTTTTCTACAAAGGGAGGTTGACTTTGTTAGAGCTATGTCACGCGACCACTTTAGAGGTGGGTATCGTCTATGAGAGAGGAAGGGGCATCGGTTACCTTGAGTGGCCGGCGAGCTTAGCAACGGGCGAGACGTCGGGAATTTCCTCAGCGTCTACGTGGAGTGTAAAGTTCTTGGGAACCTGCCATATAAAGATCTTGCCATCTTCGGAACCGGACGCAATGAGGTGGTCGTTGAAAGGGTTCCTAGAGTGCGTCACGAATGTCGGTTAGCAAAAGAAAAGCATATATAGACATAGCGCTAGACACCTAGTCATAGCAGTATAGGGTCGGCATATAGGACCACGTACCAATCGGTATCTAGGACGGCAGCGGTGTGTCCTCGAAAGAGGGGGATCTGGTCAGGGAGCTTTCCTCGCTCCTCGAGTGGTATGACGGCGAAAGCGCCGCCGCCGCTCGACTCCCAGTTAACAGAGAGAAACTCGGGATTGGCCTATCGAGACATTGTAAAACGTCAGTTTCCGTCAATGCACGAGGTCTCTGGTCTTCAAAGGCTTCCCTAAGGAAGAGGGGAAGCTTCGTTCATCACCGTACCTTTACGAGGTTGGTATCCCACGCATTGCGGCTGATGTGCAGATTATCATAACAGAACTCCTTTCTCGTCGACTTGCCGAAAACATGTCCTGATCAAAGCCGTAGAGGTTCCTCGACGTCAGTCTTTCCGAATAATGTGGGATGGATGAGGGGAAGAGGGGCTTCAGGCAGGGAGAATGCCGTGCCGCGCAACCAGGCGGGAGGGAGCATATTCAGGGGTGGGAAAGACTGATGCTGATTCCTAGCTTTTGCGACGGGAACTTACGATATTTCGACGCTCGAACGAACCGGTGGGCCATGGATAATAGCTTCGTCTCTCGAAGCAACAAGGAAGCACTAGATTGGGTTTATGGAAGTGGGAAAAAAGGACGGTTCTACCAGTCGTCGAGGGCGCGAATGAAACAATGGATATGGATGCAGGTTGGTTGTGTACTTCGTACACGACCAAGGTTGGTTGCGAGGAGGACCTCAAAGTGCTATGCTATAATTGTACAAGTCAAATGTCAATGCTGGGGAGGTCCCCCGCTAGTTTCAACATCAGCTGGACTATTGACAATCAGGATCCTCGTTAAACGCATATTCTCCAAATCACAAGCTTCGTTCTGCAAAGCAGTTGAAGCGATTAATGGTAATTTATCGCATTCTTTGAGCTTCACCAATAGAGAAAATATCTAGCGGCACTATATTGCAGGTACCGAATCATGTCCTTCCCCGTTGAGTTGAGGTGGACGGTCTAGACCCATCGAACGCACCTCCTTCGTACTTCGTACTTGCAGCCAAGCAAATCGGATGACGACATGCGAATCCTAAAGCAAGAAAGCGAAGTAGAGCTGGCCTGGCGATAGACAGACAGGCTCCCTTCCCGTCAGCTTCCAATAGCTGCGGTCTGCCAAGCCCCAAGCAAATTCTTCCGCTCCCACCGAGCTTTCATTGCCGCTCATGTAGAGAGATTTCACTACCTCGCAGGGAGAGTCTGTAGAGATGAGAAGCTATGGCGAGATCGTAGCTCACAAGAATATAACTCCAACGCCCTGGCCCAACTCCATCCAAGCTCTTACAGCTCAACGATTGATCCCGCCTTGAACTCCAACCCATCTTACAATATTAACACCTGAGTAGCACATATAGGGGAAACGATGGCTCTCGGTGAGCCTCAGGTCATCTAGTGCAACACATTTGATATCAACCACTCCCCAACTCTAATATACACACAGTTGTCAATGCAACTTCAATACCTCTCAGTATGCGCACATATCAAAACCGCTTCTATTAGGCCCATTAAGACTGTATTCCGAACACCATAACCATCACCGCCCCTCCCTCATCACCTGGCCACATGCAGCTTGGCAGCACCTCCCTCTCGCATACTAAGAGCCTCGCAAACCCCAGGCATTCCAGAACTTCTAACTACTGTACTGCCACCACTGTTAGAACACCTCCTTCACGAAGTAGGGGCATGAGTATGTTGAAAGAACGACCTCGAGGCCTCTGATTGGTGTGGCACGTAACGAAGACCGCCAACACAGCCTGCCCCAAACCGCCCTGTAGTCTGCCTATTTATACCAGTAATAGATGTGTGCTGGCAGTCGCGCCCCCTTCTCACCCCCGCATTTTTGCCCAAGAAATGCTCGACGACGTTTCGCAATCCTCCAAAATCCAGACTACACTTCCTGAATGACATGGAGCTGGCGCTAACATTCGGTTCTGTAGGAGATATCATTGCGGTAAGTCTCCTAATCAAAGACATCATCCGCTCCCTTGGCGACTGTCGCGGTTCCTCCAAGGAATACCAGGATCTAGTGCATAGCCTCAGCATCTTGGACGAGACTCTGCACCAGGTGGATCAAATCGTTCGCAATCCGCGGCGGACGAGTGCCGACAAGGTTCTCTGCTCTATAGCTTTAAAGCGTCTACAACAAATCCGAGCATTTCTCCACAGCTTCAACAGCCAACTTGAAAAGTTCCGTTCCAGTCTCGCCCCCGGAGGGTCCGGCGACCGCCTCAAAGATGCAGCGAGGAGGATCCAGTTCAAGCTCGAAGGGAAAGACATTGAGAAAACAAAGGAGAAGATAACGGGGTATGTGCTTGAGTTGAAAATGGTGTTGGAAACGATGATACTGTATGTCTGTCGCAATCACCTTGGAACACGGAGCCTTGGGCACTGACTTCTGAAATGAAGCCATACTGTCGAACAAAACTACGAAGAGCTACAGACGACGAGCCGGTCCTTGCAAGAGCAGCTCAAGGACCTAGGACGGCAAGTTATTGCGAAGATTACCTTTTTAGCCCATGTAGCGCTGGACATCAAGAGATCCACGTCACAAGTTGCTTCCACGGTCTTTTCAATGTCTAGAGAGCTGGCGAGCTTCCGCTCCTTGCTCACGACACTGGAACGACCACCGATCGACGAGTACTTCACATTTGAGGATGCTTTAGGAAGGGTTTTCCCAATCCACCTAAGGACCATCACCTCATGGGATGCCTTTTCGTTCGTACTCAGCGAGAAGTTCAAGGGGGGAAGAGGCGCCCGGCGGGTTCGCCACAGGCGGTACAAACTCCTCGATCGCGCGACTGGGCGAGAGATCGAGCAAGGGGGAAGCTGGGAAAGGACATTCCTGCCATACCGGAGGATCGATATGAGTCTTCTTTGTCGAGATACCGAGCTTTCCGCCACCGAAGCCGGCCGTCTTGCTACTTGTCCCTGGTGCAAGGCTCAATCGAGCGGGGATACGAGCGTTCAAGTCCGCTGGTAGGTCTATCAGTCCTATGCAAAACCAAGATGAAGATTCAAGTCCACGGCTGATAGATCCGCACCAGTCAAAACTGCAACATGTTTTACACACGAGTAGTAGAGCTGGATGATATAGGACTTCCTTCGCCACCAGCCAATATACGCGAAGCTCGCCGGTTCGGCCAACTTTCCTTTAACATGGATGTACCCCTCGATTGGGATCGGAACCGCGGGAGAAAGCGACGCCTTGGTGATGGAATCTCTGACGACAATGACAGCGACGATTATGAGTCTGACGACGAGGATTTAAGCGGTCTTGTTCGAGTTACCGTCATCTCAAGGCGAAAGAAAATCAAGGTTTTCGAAGGACCACTCACAGGCGATCACTCGTCTCCGACGGTGACTTCTTTTAGAACTTTGTCTTCCGAAACGACCACGACCACAAAATCGACTGGAGCAAACTTCCTCGCGTCACTGAGCTCTACTCCCCAGCAAGGAGCACAGCAAGTCTCCGGACTACCGACTGACGCAACACCAACGCTATGCCCAGGGGTCCAACCTCCTCACAGCGACCTTCCACACATAGACGATCCGGAAGACGTCTTACGAAGGATAAACGAGGATCTCGCCACCCGTCTGGCCATTCTACTGGCACCGAAGCTAGAAGAGTACCCATGGGAGGATTCCGAAGCCCATTTGAGGCTCGAAGCCGAGGATCTTGTCGCAAGGTTCGCGCCCCACCTTATCCAGTCCTATCATGGGGACCGGGACCAAGAGAACATCGAGTCCTATCCCTGGGACTGGGAGAAAGAAGGCACAAGTGACTCGCAAGTGCTGATCGAGGACACAGTGGCTTAAGTCCAAGGCATCGAATCCCTCCAGGCTACTCTTTAGAGAACTGGACCCTTCTGGATCTCCTATCATGCTCTTGGGCTCCGCGTTCGACGCTTACCCTCTCGGCAAGTGAGTCTATGACTGGACTGCCTATCGCCTCGGTCCCACATGGTTCTTGCTTGTCTAATTTCTGGGCAACCTTAAGAGTGCAAACCGGCAGTTTTCTTTTCCCTTTTGCCGAGTCAATTCACGCTCCGGGCCTGACCACCAGGATCGCCTTACTAGATCCTATCAAATGTTCAACGTTCCATGGCGGAACAGTATCAAGAAACAGCACGCTGTTAGTTTAGATTTACCTGGACTGGGTCATCCCATGTTAATGTTCAAATTGTTGTCTTTACGGCGGCTTCAGGCGGTCATCTGCCAATATGCGCCGAGCCAAAACTCTCGAGATGCCGCGTGGAAGTTCGCATCATCATCAGGATTCCCTGCTTGAACTACATGGAATCCCAACATCGTGGCCTAGCTTCATGCGTGTATGATGCTGCCCCATAGTTCGCATGCACTCGGCCGAGCTCTTCAATGTTTCCATCCCAGCTCCGTCACCAAGAGCAACAGAGTAGTACTCAGATCCATACCATCAGCCTTCATTACATTAAATTCATGCAGGACAAGGTCACAAAATAGGTCATATCAGCTCACGCAGACAACAAGCAACACTCGCAAAGTGGACCGATAGTAAAGAAATAATGTCATTTGAGAGAAACAAACGATTCGAAAAATCATGCACCTTTTAATACAATGCCCCCAATCCGTTTCAACCAACACATAAAAACGGACGAAGTCAAGCGAAGAGAAGAAGCCCAGGCTGGGAAACAGCCAACATCTTCTAAGCTTCAGGAAAGTCTCGAGGAAAAAAAGTCTTGAAGAAAAATATTCACACTCCTACCCGTAGCGTAGCTGTCTGCTCAGTCCCCCTATCCGTCTCATCACCATAAAATGATGTAATACTCCCACGACCGTTAACAGTGAAAAACAAACATAAAGAAAATTCGCGAGTCCTCGCAAAAAAAAGAGAGGAGGAAGCCCCCTCAGAACAAGAAGATAAGACAGAAGAGTGCACCGCACGACGAGGTCCAGCCGCTGACGTGGTAGACAAAACAAGATACCCGAAAGGCTGATATTAAACCACGACATCGGCACCGATTTAAGAAATTTCCCCGTAAGGGCCAAAGGAAAGAAATGTGTTCTAAAGTCTCTCTCGGGTGGTCGGAGAGAGTGTGTGGGTTAATGTAAGGGTGGTGGTGGGAGAAAATGCATCATGTCAAACATGTCCTGCGTGCCTCGTTTCATAGTCGTCGTCGCAACGTTCGTAAAAAAGGTGGGGGATGAAGAACTGTAGAAAAAGGGGTATCGAGGGTGTAAAAATATGCAGAGGCAGGCAAACATGTAGGCCACACCGATGAACCCCTTAGACGTACATGCTCTTCGTCCTCGAGTGTACGCGACGACCCTCAGCACGGCGGCGGAGAGCTTCCTCTCGCTTGAGGACAACCTCGCACCACTTGTTGCGGCGAGGCCCCTGGCCATCATCGTCTATGCTGCCTGTGTCACCACGGCCGATGAGCTCGCCGAGGACCTTCATCCAGCCTTCCTTGTCTTCGGCTGTGTCGGCGTAGAAGTCGATGACTTCGCCATTGTTGAAACGGATGCGGAAGCCCTCTTCGACGAACATGTAACCTTCCTCTTCTTCGGCGAATGCAGATCGACGGCGCTTGCCTCCCTTGCCGGTTGTCTCCTTTTCTGTTAGTGTGCGCCTATCATCAATGAGACGCTTGGCGTTGCCCAAGTTGATAGTCGCACGAGGTTGGCGAGTAGCCTCGTGATAAGCTGTCAGCTTGGTACCGACGAGCTTGAAGTAACGACGACGCCAGTACTAAGAACACGCATTAGAATGATTACTCCTCGTATATGGGAAATAAATGACAATTGGAGTCTGGCACTTACAGGACAGTCACCACCCTGCTGGCTGAGATGGCCCTCCCAATTCCTGGAAAGACGTTCCTCGGCGGCCTTCAACTCCCGAATGCACGAGTTCATGCTCTTGGGCATATCATCATCGGTAGATCCCTTGGGTCGGGGGACGAAGAGGAGCTGGAGCTCAAGCTTGCCAATCTTGTACGGCGCACGCCTGACGACGGCCGTCGTCCCGCGCTTGCTCTTGACGCTCGACGCGAAGCCGGCCTCCTCAGTGGCCCACTCGTTGAAGCAGGCAACTTCAACGAGGTAGGGTCGACCGAAGCACCTCGACTCGTGCTCCTTGAGGCAGACGTAGGAGCGAGCGAAGCTACCGTCCTCGGCGACAAGGGGAGAGAGGAGGTCGTAGGCCGAAGGGGCTGCGTTTAGTTGACGGGTCTGGGCATCTCTCTGCATGGCGAGTCTTTGCTCCTCCTCCCGCCTTAGCATCTCCATTTCCCTGCGCTTCTTCGGCGACGCGAACATGCGACCAAAGGTCGAAGTCTTGGTCTTGGTGGCCTTGGCCTTGGTGGGAGAAGCAGCAATGGGAGCAGGAGCAGGCTTCTCGAGCTTCACATTAAGCGTGAGCTGGAACTCGAGGTCATTAGGAACCACGAGCTCAAACTCTTGGCCGATGGGCGCGTTGCGGGCAAGTTCAAGCCAGGCCGTCGTAACGCAGTGCACACCGTTATCCAGCGTCAAGCTGAACCATGTCCTCTCAGCTGTGTAAAGGTTAGTTTTTCATTTCACCCTTCAAGTCGTTTTGCCGAGCAAAAAAAAAAAAAAAAAAAAAAAAAAAAAAAAAGATAAACCTACTCTTGGCAAGTGGCAAGTCGAGGTCCTTGACACCCATCACCTTGACAAACAATCGTCCCCTCTCGCCGCTTTCTTCGGTAGCAAGCTCAGCGTTAAAGTCCTCCTCCGCGAGAGGATTCAGTCCAACGGCATTGCTCTCCTGGCCCGGAAGAGGAGGGACTGGTCCACTCATACCACCATGTCGCTTCCTAACACTCCTTGGTCGAACCTTACCATTCCAAGGCTCAACAGTCCACGACTGGGGTCGGTCAGCCTTGACGGGTGAGTTGCCGGCAGATCGAGCCTTCCACCTATCATCAGGATCCTTGTCGCTCGCGGCAACGAGCTTGGTGTTCTGGCGCATGAGGTAGCCACGCTGTTTTTGAGTAGTAGAGTTAGCATTCTGTAATTCTAACGACGCATCTTTTTTAGTCGCAGTGCCCGACGCTTGTCCGGCTTGGTGGCCACTACTTGTGGCCTTCTCTGGCGAATCGTTTAGGAGTTGGTTAAAAGCCACCTTTTGTGCCTCAATAACCCTGTCGAAATCCTGATCGAGACTCAGGCCCAAGTCAAGATCCAACGTGAGACTGCGCTTCTTAAAGCTGGGGTGTCTCTCCAAGTAGTCCTCCGTGCTGCTGGAAAAATCGTTCTCAAGATCACGAGAGCGTCGGCTCAGGTGGCGCTCGGGGATGGGAGGAACTTCTGGGGCGAGCTCACGGCTCACTTGCCGCCTAGCCTCTCGCATGGCCATAATGTCAGAGGGGGTTGCCGAGGGACGAGTCCTCAGCTTCGAGCCAGAGGCGGACTTGATAGTGGCTAGTTGCTCAGGGATTTCAGGAGTCGGAGGTGTCTCCTCCTCCTCCTCCTCCTCTTCTTCCTCCTCCTGTTCCTCTTCCTCCTCATCGTAGTCGTTGACAGGGTGGTGGATCACCGATCCAGAAACAGACTCGTCGTCCTCATACTCATCAGGTTCTCCCCACCCAGAGCCGTCATACTCAGGTTTTGAGAGAGGAGGTCGCTCATCAGGAGTGAATGGTCGCTGGAGGTAAGCATGGGCCTCCGCCATCGTAGGTCCTTCGATTTGGTCGGGGCGAGGGAGAACTGGGCCGTTTAAACTGGGTCGGTTAGGAGGAGCGGCAGCCTCCTCGGGGAGAGGCAGTTTCTCCTCGATAGGGCTAGCGTGTGGAGTGAGATCTTCCTCGGCGGGATCTTCCATGTCCTCCATCTTCTGTTGCTCCGCAGCCTGAACAGAAGCTGCGCTCTCAGAGTAGTGGCTAGCCGAGTCATCATCCTTGTCCTCGTGGATGACAAGCTCCTCATCTTGATCCATAGAAATCTCTCGGTACGAGTAGCTGTCCTCCCTTTCAGCCAAATCAGGTCGGACAATAACGCTACCTTGATCATCATCCAGAATAGAGTCCTCTTCGGTAGATGGGATGGGAACATCAGGATCTAGTGGAAGAGGGCGCTCGGGGCTGAAAGGAGGAGGCGAGGAGAAGTGGTAATCCGATTCTCTGTCAAAAATGCGATTGCCATTGACACGGCGAAGAATGGACTCGCGGGAAATGCGAGGAGGAAGCTGGTACTCCTCCAAGCCAGAGATATCGCCAATAGTGTCACCTTCTTCCTCAGCCTCAAGGGCAGCCTGGCTGGCTGTGTCCGTCGTCTCGGAGGACGGGCTACCGAACCTGTCTCGAGCACCAGCCCGGCGCATGCGACGCTCACGTTGCTGTTCGGCAGCGGTCTTAGCGGCATTACCGTCATCGGAGAGCATCATAAGCTTCAACCGTTCCTCGAGAGTCATCTTGCCGTTGCCAATGTTTTGGATCTCAGACTTGCTAACCGGGGCCGGGGGTGGCGAGGGCAGGCTCCTGTGAGAGCCAAGCATCCTCTCAGCAGTAGCCGAAAGTCCGGGAGAGCCCCGCGAGAACGAACCAGAACCCATCCCAGGCAGAGGGGGAAGAGGTCTGTGTTCGGAGTTCGAGTTGCTGGAATCGGTTCGCTGATGAGTTTGGTGTCCGACTGAAGCTCGGGTAAGCATGCCCTCGGGGGCAGGGCTAGAGTCATAGAAAGGGTCGTCACCGCCTCTCATTGGGCTGTCGTGTCGCCAGTCATCCGGCCCCACTACAGGAGTCTTATCTGTATCCTCAAGCGAGGCATCGAAGCTGTCGTCTGCTTCGTCACCCTCATGATGGTGGTAGAACGGGTTGTACTCATCGTCCTCATCCGACTCATAGCTACCCTCGCGGGAGTTGGAACCAATAGATGACAAGTCGGGAGTCGCCATCTCATACTCATTCACTTGGGGAGGTGCAGCATCGAAGGTGACGCTCTTGGTGTGTCGATGGAGGGTCCGATACGTCTCAGCCTGCGACTCCATAGTCCAAGTTCCTGTGGCTTCGTCGAAGCTACTCTTGAACCTAGAGGTGGAGAGAGAGGACTTGATAGGTGAGCCTTGCTCCCTCTTTGGCGTCTGGGGTGGGTTGTCCGTTTGGGAAGATTCTGGAGCAGCGGTCTTCGCGGGGCTGTACAAAGGAATATCGGTCTTGCTTTGGCTCCTTTGGTGGCCTTTCCTTTCAGAGGCTGCTGGCGCCTCGGAGCGCAGGCCAAGAGCCCCTCTTCCGCCGAAGGCATTCCCTTGAACCTTAGCAAGGGGCCGCTCAATATGGGGAATACGGGTAGGATCGTATTCCTGCTTCTGCTCTAGGGCGAGAATGTTGCTGTTCTTTACCCTGGATGCCTTCTGGAGGCGCTCTAGGGAGGAGCGTCGGAGTGGCGAAGGAGAGCCGGAGTGCCCACCGTACAGGCTATTCTCGGTGCTCGAGTTACGATTCTGCCAGAAGACCCTCGGTGACGTCTTGGCCTCAAGAGGCGAGGACTGGAAAGGAGAGGAATCCTGCTGGAAGTTCATCTTCTAGATTCAATCCCGTCAGCGTCGCTCTGTCTCTATCTAGGTATTGCTAGAGACATCGACTAACCTTTGTTGTTTGGTTCCAGCTCGGGGAATTTCTCCGCTTCTCGGATGGGGAAATCTCTGTGAGGGCGCGAGGGATGGCGCCCTTCTTGGTCGGCGACGACATTGCTGAGTTTCTAGATAGGCGCAAAGGTTGAACCTGGTGGATTCCGTTAGCTTTGTCGTTGTTCTTCTTACCTCTTAACCTCGATCAATTCTGGTGATCCTTACCGGGTCGGTAGATGGCATGCTTCCCAGCATGCAATGCCTTTAGTTTCTCAACTCCCAAAGGTTAAATAGAGGCAATTGATGTTGTTGGGTGCATGAGGTCAGGGTTGGGGCCGATTGGGAAAGGTGGGCGACACGAGAGGTTATATCAATCAAAAGGCTGGTAAGATCGGCCCCAAGATTGCTTCTAACCAGAGTAGAGCTCAATGCTGTGTAGAGGAAGACCACTCTCCGTCGTTAGCAAGCGCGCAGGCGAACCTTGTAGCCGAATCCGTAGACTCTCTTCTTTATGGACAAGGCAGGCAAGAGTTATATCGCAGACGATATTGCGCCTTTCTCTCTGATAAACTGCGAGCAGTTGTCTGGCGGAATGCCAAAAGGAGGAAGACGATTTGTTTTGGGATGGGATAATATTGTCTTTTTTGTACAAGTGTTCGTTGGAGGGTGTGTGTCTGGGTGTTCGGTTCGTTGTTTAAGAATGGTTCAAGGGCTCCTGAGATATAGCCGCAGGATGCTACACACAGCTACCAAGATGTGGTGGTGCAGGTAAACAAACAAGGAATGGTCAGAAGAAGTCGGTTCGGGAAGATCGAGGGCGCGTTGCTGTGGAAACTGCGACCTTGAACTGGTGCAACGCCCGATTCTGACTGGAGGAAGCACACCCTATGCACGGACCACCAATTTATTCCTGCATTTTAAGGTGGCATCGAGTTTCAAACCATTAACCAATATGTACGATAGCTCCATTGCCTCTCCATATGCATGCAAACGCAAAACTATCTCTCTAAGAGGGTAATCGGCCAAAAGGAAATTTCCGATAAGAGCCCCTCCACTGCGATAAGCCAGAAATTTTCAAGAAAAGTGAAGGTCGAAGTCGACTTCTCGAACGCTTGTGATTTTGTCCTCGAGCAGACTGCAATAGACCACAGGACAACAACCGATCCACCAAGTCCGCCCACAATGAAGCGCAAACTTGACGAAAACAACGAGCCGGCCGCCAAAGAATCGCAGCCTACAACCAAAGAAAATGCCGAGAAGAAGGCTTCGTTTTCCGACTTTGGCCTCGACCCTCGACTCGTACAGGCCATAGCCCAAGAACAGTACAGAGAGCCGACTTTGGTCCAGGCCAAGGCCATACCACTTGCTTTGGAAGGAAAGGATGTCCTAGCAAAGGCAAAGACCGGTTCGGGCAAGACTGCTGCATATCTCCTCCCAGTCCTTCAAGCGGTCTTGAAGAGGAAGCAGGTTAGTCGAAGCTCTTTTCCAGCGCATAAGTGATCAAAGCGACGGAAACTAATTCTTTCTTTCTACAGACAAACTCCGATGCATTCACCTCCGCGCTAATCCTTGTACCGACCCGAGAACTTGCTGATCAAGTCCACAAGGTCATCGAATCTCTCGCCGCCTTCTGTGCAAAGGACATCCAGGCTGTCAAGTTGACCGATAAAGTCTCCGAGGCTGTCCAGCGCTCCCTCCTCTCCAACTCCCCCGACATCGTCGTTTCTACCCCTGCAAGGACTTGGTCGAATATAAGCTCGTCTGCTTTATCACTTGATAAGCTCACACACCTTGTACTCGATGAGGCTGATCTTGTGCTTTCATATGGCTACGAGGATGATTTGCGGAACATTGCTAAGAAGCTTCCCAAGGGCGTCCAAACGATCCTTATGAGCGCGACCCTTACAACAGAAGTCAACACGCTCAAGGGCATCTTTTCTCGGAATCCCGCCATTCTTAATCTGGAAGAGAAGGACGGTGACGGTGAAGGTATTGAACAATATGTTGTCAAGTACGTATCCTCAATAGGCACCTCCTTTCTAGCCGGCAGTTACACTAACTCTATTCGCGGCAGATGTGCTGAAGACGAAAAGTTCCTTCTCATCTACGTCATCTTCAAACTAAAACTTATCAAGGGAAAGAGCATAATATTCGTTTCCGATGTGGATCGCTGCTACCGCTTAAAGCTCTACTTTGAACAATTCGGCATCCGCAGCTGTATTCTCAACTCCGAGCTTCCAGTGAACTCGAGGATACATGTCGTCGAAGAGTTCAACAAGAATGTTTACGATATCATCATCGCGTCTGACGAAAATGAGGTAATTGGCGACGAACAGACGCCCAAAGATGGATCGGAAGAGGCGGTCGCGGCGGAAGACGGCACGACCGAGTCAAAGTCCCAAGAACCTCCGAAGAAGAAGAAGCGGAAGACGTCACGGAGAGACAAGGAGTTTGGCGTCTCCAGAGGAATCGATTTCAAGAACGTCGCCTGCGTCATCAACTTTGACCTCCCCACGTCCGCCAAGTCATACACGCACAGGATAGGAAGGACAGGACGGGCTGGCCAGCGCGGCATGGCTCTCTCCTTCGTCATCCCCCGAGAACAGTACAGGAAGCATGTCCCCACCTGGGTAGAATCTACGGAGAACGACGAAAAGATTCTCGCGAGGATAGAAAAGCAACAGGCGAAACTGGGCAAAGAAGTCAAACCGTACAACTTTGACATGGAACAGGTTGAGGCGTTCCGCTACCGAATGAACGACGCCCTGAGAGCCGTTACGAGGGTAGCTATCCGCGAGGCGCGAACGAGAGAACTGCGAGAGGAGCTCCTCAAGAGCGAGAAGTTGAAGCGGCACTTTGAAGAGAATCCGACGGAGCTCCAGCACCTGCGACACGACGGGGAGCTGAGGGCCGCGAGAACCCAAGCGCACCTTAAGCACGTGCCTAATTACTTGCTACCGGCGGAGGGCAAGAAGGGTCTCACCTCGCAGGACGTGGGCTTCGTAGGCTTTAACAAGCACGATAGGAAGAGGAGGAATAAGAAGTTTAAGGTTGGGAAGAAACGGTCGGATCCTTTGAGGTCATTCAAGGCGCGGTCGAAAAAATGATGGATCAATTAGTTATTCTGAGGACCTAAGTACATAGACAGTTCTTGACGCTAATACCCTATTATATTTCCTTAAACACAGCGCTTTGATTCCACGAGTGGTTAACGCAAAGAAACGTTACGACAATGCATTAAGTGGCTTCTGGGCAAACACAATTGACCTAGGGAAGACGTGTTAGTCCCGGATCCAATAAGACCGCGAGGGGAGACAACCTACGCCTCAAAATAGGCGTGAACAGAATCATCTTTCAACACCTTCTTCGTCTGAGCAATATAAGCCTGCGCCTCCTCGAGTTTCCACCCCAACATACACGTCAAGACATACATCCCACACCCGTCAATGCTATCATCCAACATCGCCTGCATAATCTTCCCAATCGTCTTCCACTTCGCATCCCCGTGCCACTCCCCCAAGGGCAACTTCAACCGCCTCTCCCTCACCCTCAAGAACCCCGCATCACGAATCAACTGCATATTCTTACTCTCGTCGATCACGCGAAACGTCCTCCCCATCTTGTCTCCGGCCCGGATTAACACGTCAGCCCAAGCGCGCAACGGAGACTCTTTCGGAAGGGAGTCATCGTCGGCTTTGGCTTCGAGGGAAAAATCGACGTGCTCGATCCAGCCGCCGGGTTTGAGGCAGCGGTAGATCTCGGAGTAGAGGGAGGGCCAGTCTTTGATGGCGCCTACGAGGCCGCGGGTGTGGATGAAGTCGAAGTGGTTGTCTGGGAAGGTCCAGGGGAGTTGGGCGTCGTCGAGCTGGAAGGAGAGGTTGTTGGGAACGAAGATGGGCTGCATAGGGGTGATGTCGGTGCCGATTACTTCCGTGTTTGGGTAGGCTTGGGCAACGTCTCTGGTCAAGTTCATTAGAGGGATATGTTTCGAGGCACGTAGAAAATGAGAGGAGAAGGTGGTTCGGGACTCACACAGCCCAGAGCCCCGTTCCGGTGCCGATATCTAGAATGCGCTTGCATATCGTGCCGGGGGATATAGGAGCTCGGAATAGCTTGCCATCCAGAGCCATGAGAAGAACCCCATGACTGCCTCATAGACGGCAGTGGCAATAGGAATGCCCGTGGTCAATAAAGCTCCGTTTCCCTTCGAAGGAGAATGCATGCTCACGTCATATCCCAAGCTTCCCTCTGCTTCTCATCATTCGGCGCCCTGTGGGGTGGCTGTAAGCGAGTTCTAACATGTATAAAAATCTTTCTTCCATACCAATACTCGGTGTTGGTGCTGAAATTCTGATACGTCCTTCCGTGAATCTGACGGGATGTAAGTATGCTCGGTATGACCGATGTTGTAGAGCTCTCGCTAGAGCGGGTTTGCCGTCGTTAGAATGTTTCTCACGATGATAATTGATGTCTATATGAGGGTGAGCTCACTTATCCGAATCGAGAGCTGGCTCTCCATCGCTGTCGCCGGCTCGTAGTGAAGCCTGGGATGAATTCTTAGACATTGAGCATAAAAGAAATATTGGATACGCTGCGTTTAGGCGACGAACTGGGAAACAGGTGAAGGACCCGATAGTTCGGAGTAAGAAGCGAAGAATTCGCTTATTATAGACTGCACTTGTACGGGATGGAATATTCAGTAACCATGGAGGAACACAGTCAACGACTCTACCATACTAAGGTCGAGTTGCATCATGCATAGCCTGAAGACGGCGGTGGTTTGCTTGCGGTTGTGTTGGATGGCTTGCTCCCCGCGTGCTCCTCAACACGGTGCCCCCAAAGCATGTTTGTATGTTCGAGAACTCAAGTCGATCTCCAGTCACCTATTCCCAAGTGATAAGTAAAATCCACTAATGTTAGGTGATGAGATTCCTGGTCTCCTCCTGCACAAGACTAGCAAACTGCATATTGCGATCCAATGTTGGGAGTCTCATTGGGACAAGCGCAGAAGTCGATAGAACATTGTTCCAAGCTCTCAGTCCTGCGAACATGAGACTTCATCAGTCCCCTCCCTTGAAGAAACCGGTCGGCTGGATTAGATATTGCGAAAATTCTTCGAGGTTTTCTGTATGTCATATCCCCACTGATTCTTCACGAACCTAGGAAGTGTCATTTCAATTGCGAACCTTTTCACCCATTTTCTTCGATGAGCACAAGCTGCAAGCAAACATCGTGCGTATACCACATGAGGCAAGGAATGAAGGCGGAATGCGAGCTTGGTTCATTTATCGACGCAAGGGGGAGATCAGAATGTACATTTCCCAACGCAAGGGAGAGTGATGCTGCGTGTAAGTGGCTGCGCACGCGCCCGGTGTGCCGCATCCTGCAGTCGAACCATACGACTGACCGGGAGTCTGGGAGCCTGGGACTTTTGGGTGATCTCGAGTGTTTACCGAACCAACGCCCGCAGAAGTTCAGAAACCAACATGATGGGATGCAAATCGATGTTTGCCCTCGCAGCTTCCTAATATATGCACACCTGCTCACCCCGCTCTCACTGTGGAAGGTGCACCACACCTCTTGGACACCGCTGCCTCCTTCTATTTTCTGCGATATGATGGATGCGAATAACTTTATAGACGAGGCTACGGCAAGAACTTCCAACCGAGCAGCTCAAGCAGCAACACTGCGACCAATGGCCAAGTGGTCAATGGAGCGCTCAGAAGGTTAGAAAATTGCAATTTTCGTAGCTACGCGACAAGCTCTCAGTGATTCGATCCCGAGGGCGAGCGCGAGCGAGCTTTTTGCAATTCTTTTTCCTTTTTCCTTTTTTATTTTTTATTTTTTATTTTTTATTTTTTATTTTTATTTTTTATTTTTTTATTTTTTATTTTTATTTTTATTTTTTATTTTCTATCCCCCAGTTTTTTGTGTCGTCTCCGACAAGTTACTCTAGACACTGAAAGCTACAATCTCTTCTTTTCTTTTACCATTCGAGAAGAAATTGCGGATTCTTATTTTCACAGGTTGGCGAGAAGGTCAGCCGGTGCCTGGGTGTCGTGCAGTTGCTCTGTGGCGGAAAGCTCTTAACGTCAACCTCGGTGGTCTCACCGGAATACACCGCGCACCATACACTGCTCACGGCACAAATTGTCTATATACGACGTAATAACCGGACGATTTCGCTCGTTAAAGACCATGTTTCCTCCTCTCTACTCGGGCAGTCCGGGTTCTCAACGCTGGGATCCCTTGTTACCACGAGGTATGTTTGGGACAAACCGCCACGAGCCTCGTCTACTTCGTACGTTCATCTCGGATGGGCGAGATAGTACCGAATTGCGCGATACAGCCAGTCCACGCAAGTCAGTTGATTTGCAGCTCGCCTCGCACCCCTTGCAGGGAATATATTAATAAATATTAGACGATCTAGATCCTCGCTGAAGGTCTGGATGTGGTGGCCCTTCCCACGTGGTTTACCGGGACTTTTGAAGGGAACCGTGTTATATCGTGTCCCAGAGGAGACCTGATCCAGACTTTGACCTACGAATCAGACCAGAAAGGTTGGTCAGAGTCTGTGAGATGCTACGATTCTCTAAAGCCATACCAAACTCCTCTCTGGTGACACGGGTACACTTGTATAATCCGAACACCTACGGGCAAAAATTCGCGAAGTGACACGATATTTCGATCCGGAGTGCAACCCCCGAGCTTTCAGACAACCGAGAGCATCTAGAGTCTTAAAAGCTCATCATATGATGGTGGTGGTATCAATGGGCTCCGTAATCCCAGTTCCATGTCGACCCGTTGCTATTTTGATATGGACTCGGCTGTCGCTGATGCTTGCGAACAGGGAATCCGACCTTGACTGGGGTCTGATTGGAGCCCACTATGAGGTGAGCTCAGAATAAAGTACGAAACGATTCGTTAGCTTCGCGCCGCCCGTTATCCAACGGTACTCTCCAACGTCGCAATTCATTCCAACCTCGCCGACCTTTTGAGTCGACATCAATTGATCAATGCCAATGGCAGCGTCGACGATCGGGTCAAGGTTGCAACACTGCAAGGGCACTTTCGGTCAAAGTATGCTCAGAATCTCACGAGGATATCGACGTAGATGATGGTTGCAGCTCCTCTCTGCTTGGCAAGCCAAGACATGCACTCGCAGACGATCACGTCCCCACCGGCCCTCAGTCGATCCAATGGGCTCGTCTGAATTTCAACAACGGGGAACTTGATTTGAAATGCTCGCACCGCATGGACATCTACACTTACGTAGTCGTTCCTGAAGAAACTCCATGGCCTGGCGTCAATGGCTGATTCCCACCAATAGTATCGGCTATGATCAATGGATACAATGTGATGAGGCTTCGCTGACGGCACACCGTTGCTCGCCTCATGCCGCAAAGTGCCGAGTCAATGCCGGACGGGTCCCGGCGAATACAGACCCGAAAGGTTAACATCATGGAATCCCTGTCCGGGTCCGGGTGATCCTATACCATCACAATATCGGACATCTATACTAAACAACTCCACGGCTAGATTAAACGTCAGAGCCAGGTGAATTATTAAAGAAGAAAAGATGGAAAGAAAACGGTTGGAGCTTGAGTCTCAGCCCTGTCTCTAGGCCGATATCATACCGAGACATGTCTACAGGTACGCGTCCCAATTAACATCCCGATGGAATGTCAAAACACCGCAGTCGTTTGTTTCCTTCTCTCGCTCATAATCTCCACTGGAAAAGAGAAATCTCCACGAAATTACATGAGGCAATTTACCATATTGACCGACGCTTTACCTGATACCATTTTTTTTGCGCTCATTCATTGATGCTTTCTCCCTGCATCACGCCGTAACATCCACCGATGGCAGCTAGCGCAAATCCACCTTTGTGCCCGAAAATAGACCGCCAATTCCACTCCCCCGTGCTGTTTCTTGCAGTATCTCGACGATCCCAATCCCCTCCACCTCTCCTGGGCGCTTAAGAATCTACTAATATCCCTAGTGTGAATAGCATTCGGAACTACTACACTACACGTAACCCACAAGCACGACACGAACACTAATAAAACCTTTGAACCCCAATCCAAGTAACACTTCCCCACGCATGTGGGATGAATCACATTACATGTGCCGTGATGGGGCGACTTTATATCGACCGTTATTCGTTCTTGTTCGCCTTCCTTTTTCTATTTTTAATCTTTTTTTTTCTTGGCTTCTGCAAATCCCCACTTACTCCAAAGAACCTCCGGACCTTCGGGGGACCTGAGTGTTGATATCGCGGGCCTCGAGATGCAGATACCCGGCGTGGTGGTATCATTCCACTCGTCCGTTCTGGCTCCAACGAAGTAACTCTTCACCGTAGAAACGAGAACGAATCTCGAATGACCCTGTATGTCTCGGTCCAAAGTTCCTAATGTAAATGAGAATGGGCACGAGGTAATAAAGCGGAGACGAGGAAGGAAGGCAAGGCTCCCGTAGACACAGCGGATCCCCGAACCGTGGCAATCTCCTCGGGATCTGGAAAGCATATCAAGGTCGTTCTTCCCCAGCTTTAGACATCACAAGCTCGTCAACTCTCGTCATATGCTCCACCCCGTATATCCGAGCTTCGTAGCCCGCCTGAGCAAGAACGACCCTCAATGAGCTAAGGGTCAATGAGAGAGTCGTACAATCATTCAGCCCGGCAGCTACCCGTTACACATAAACCTCTTGCCACCCAAAAACTTCTTTCGAACCTCCGTTCTGGTCCCGAAACTTTGACAGAAAAAAGCAGAAAAAGGTAGGAACAAAGTTTCCCTTCCCCTTTTGCCACGCGTCAGTAGAAAGGAAACCCGGAAGAAAAAAAAAAAAAAAGATAAGAGTTGGTTGAACCCTGGCAGGACCTGACAGGGCCATTCCATCTTCCCAATCATCTTGAAATCAAATTGACGTCACTGAACAACTGGCCGTCGTCTCGACGTAAGCCTTCCTTCACCTTCGCTAACTATTACATCAAGGCCCTCTATATAAAAGAACTCGAGTGCAACCGGACCGACTCGTCAAGATGAAGAACCCATTCCAAACGAACCTGCCATTTTTGGCTCTACTAAACCTTTCGACGATGGCTTCCCTAGTGTCGGGTCAATGCCCCTTTGCGAACAGGCTCAAGACGAGGCAGGAGCAGGGTAGCAGTGGTGACTCTCGCTCCTTCATCCAGCACAATGATGTCGAAGACGGCGACGTGTACATGACGTCGGATGTCGGTGGACCGATTGCGGACCAGAGGAGCTTGAGAGCTGGAGATCGGGGTCCGACGCTGCTTGAGGATTTCATTTTCAGGCAGAAGATTACCAGGTTTGATCATGAGCGAGTATGTTTCGAAACCAGAGGACCTTTCTTGTGCTCCTCTTCATTCCCCCGACCTGTTCTGTGGGATCAGTTGGAGATTCTTTTGACGCTTACACTGGAAAATAACAGGTACCCGAACGTGTTGTCCACGCCCGAGGCGCCGGTGCCTATGGAAAGTTCGTCAGCTATGGCGACTATAGCAATATCACTGCCGCCTCCTTCTTGAGTTCCGAGGGCAAGGAGACTCCTGTTTTCGTGCGCTTCTCGACTGTCCTTGGATCGAGGGGCAGCCCTGATACCGTTCGCGATGTCCACGGTTTTGCGACGCGATTGTATGTCTTCTCAATTGAAACCTCCACCCTGGATCCTGGGCATAACAAGGTCGGACTAACACTATACGCTGATCGTTAGCTACACCGATGAAGGAAACTGGGATCTCGTTGGAAACAACATTCCCGTCTTCTTTATCCAAGATGCCATTCAGTTTCCCGACGTGATCCACGCCGGCAAGCCGAGCCCCAACAGCGAGATCCCCCAGGCTGGCACGGCTCATGATTCTGCTTGGGACTTTTTCAGCATGCAGACCACTGCTCTTCACACTCTCTTCTTCGCCATGTCTGGCTTTGGTATCCCGCGCAGCTACAGGCATATGGTAAGATCAACCCCAATTGTTTCTCCACAGCCTTTGCTAACATTGCCTACCCCCATTAGGACGGCTTCGGTGTAAACACCTACCGCTTCGTCAACGACAAGGGCGAATCCAAGCTCGTCAAGTTCCACTGGAAGACCCTCCAGGGCAAGGCCAGCCTGGTCTGGGAGGAGGCTCAAGTCACTGCCGGCACCAACATCGATTTCCACCGCGAAGATCTCTGGCAGGCTATCGAATCTGGCCATGCCCCCGAGTGGGAGTTTGCCGTGCAGCTCGTGGACGAAGACCAGGCGCAGGCTCACGGCTTCGATGTGCTTGACCCCACGAAGATCATTCCCGAGGAAATAGCTCCGTTGCAGAAGCTTGGAAAGTTGACGCTTGATACTAACCCTCGCAACTACTTTGCCGAGACTGAGCAGATCATGGTAAGTGTTCGATGGGATGAAAGATTTCAGAATTCAAGTGCTGACATTTGGTGCAAAAAAAAGTTCCAACCCGGCCACATTGTTCGCGGAATCGACTTTAGCGAGGACCCCTTGCTTCAGGGCCGCATCTTCTCTTACCTTGATACTCAGCTGAGCCGCCATGGTGGACCCAACTTTGAGCAAATTCCCATCAACCGTCCGATTGCGGATGTCCACAACAACAACCGAGACGGAGCCGCGCAGATGATGATCCACGGCAACACTATCCACTGTAAGTTTCCAGCCCCAGAGACAAGCCGCTTAACAAAAGTCAGGCCCCTTTGCTGATCGGGTTCGTCTACCCAGACTCGCCCAACTCTCTTCACGACAACCTGCCCAGGCAAGCGAATGAGACCGACGGCAATGGCTTCTTTACCGCACCGCAACGTAGGCTTCAGGGGGACTACGTCCGAGCCCTCCCTTCTTCCTTCGACGACCACTGGTCTCAGCCCCGCCTCTTCTACAACTCCCTTACCCCCGCCGAGCAGCAGCAGGTAGTCGACGCCATCCGGTTCGAGACCAGCAATATCAAGTCCGACACGGTCAAGAACAACGTCATCACGCAGCTGAACAAGGTCAGCAACGACATCGCGGCGCGTGTAGCCACGGCTCTCGGCCTCCCGGTCCCCGACCCTGACCCCACGTATTACCACGACAACACTACTGCGGGCTTCTCTGTCCTTAAGGACCCTCTGCCCACGATTGCTGGTCTCAGGGTTGGCGTCCTCGCTACCGTTAATGACAGCGAATCCCTCTCACAAGCGAGGGACCTCAAGTCCAAGTTTGACCAGGAGGGCGTCTCGACGATCGTCGTCGCCGAGAGATACGCCGATGGTGTCGATGCTATTTATTCGGGCATTCGTGCCAACGCCTTTGATGGCCTCGTCATCACCAAGGGAACCGAGGCCCTCTTCGGCGCCAACGCCACTAACCCTCTGTACCCCAGAGGTCGGCCCGCTCAGACACTCGAAGACTCGTATAACTGGGGCAAGCCTGTCGCTGCCGTTGGCTCTGGGTCGAGGGCATTCGACGGCAGTGTCGTCCAGAGGGGTCCGGGAGTGTACACCCACAATGATACTTCGTCCGTCGTGGACTCGTTCAAGGATGGTCTCCGAACCTTTAAGTTCGTGGACCGTTTCCCGACGGATAACCCCTCGCAGTAATGTGTGAGGCCAGGCGGGAGATCAGCACGTAGGAGGATGAGTGAGATGCAGGGGCAGCAAGAGACAAATTGAGGGGTTCCAAAAAGCAAAGATGCGGTTTTAACTTTTCTTCTTCTTCTTTTCTTTCTCACACCGCTCACTCCGATGAACGGAGCGCGGCTGACAAGGCCTAGGGGTAGGTAGGCTGGCTTGATAACGAAACAATCATAATTCAATACTTTACCAAGATGAATCTATAGGTGGTTTTCGCCAGACAGGAACGTGTTTAAGTGTGTGTATTATGCCGCCCAAGGGTCCGGTAGAGGAACGGGCGAGTACCTATAAAAATAAAGCCCTGATGCCATCTTCCCCCCTCTTGTAGACATGACGTTATCGAGGCGTCGTGGACTCCGGGTAAAACATCCAGGGCGGCTCTACGCCGGCCCCAACACGGCACAGTTGACGAAGTGAATGACTCGAGTGAAGAAAAGCGGTCAAGGACAATTCGGCTACTTTTTCTTTCCTTTTTCCCTTTCTCGCGGGGTGGAAAATTGAGATGTTACAACAATGTTTCGCTTCCGAGCGAGGGATCGGGGAACGTGGAGCGGGAGATCTGCACTTTTTACATTTCACGATGTCAACGAGGTGGGGAGGATGAGGGTCGTCCCTGGCTTTGTTCTTGCGGTGAGACTTGGTTGATGTTCCACACCGGTCCGGGATTTTATTGGGAATTTTCTTTCCCTTTTTTTTTTTTTTTTTTTTTTATTCTTCAAGTTGCCACAATGACGGCGAGATTTTGCGCGTGACCCCGCAGCCTGGGGACCAAGCCACTTGGGGGTTAGCGGGATGGAGGGACTGTTTCAGTGGGTTTAGCCGCGCTCAGCGGTGTCCGTGGCCAGGATAGAGGGGCTGGAATCACTAATTGCGACCAGACGTCTTCAACATTCAAGGGACCTAGGCTGATAGCTTGAGCCTTGACAACCAATACAATTTGATTTGACATTCGGTGGCGGCTGGGAAGTGTGACGCAGATTGACTCTTTAACCTATCTCGAGGCTTGCTCTCTTCTTTTTCCAGGTGTCTGCCTCGAACATCAACGCCTTCATCTATCCGGATTTATTGCGCGCTACTTTCCTGACCATCTTTTTTTGTCACCCCTGTTTTCCGTCTCCTTCTCGACTTCTCCTGCGATTCATGGCAAGGCGTGACTCAAGGCTCGTCCTGTAGAACCTAGCCATCCGTTTTCGGACCATCTCCTCGCGATATCCGCCCACGTTTCCATGCTGTGCCGATAACATCAAGCCTTTTGCGACGAACCATCGAACCATTCTTATACTCTTGTGTACATATAACATCGAAAATATCCGGCCGTTCTTACTTGAAATACTCTACAAACAAGGAAGGATGGATCGCCTACGGAGGTTGCTGGGGCGTCGCTCTACGCCCAGGTCGTCACAGGAGTACGAGCGGCTCGCGGAGGACACGTCGGAGCTGGAGAATTCGGATGTCCTGGACCACTACGACAACTATGATGGGGGAGAAGAGGAAGTGCCATTTTCGTGGTTCGAATATGCTATCTTCGTTCTACTAGGAATGGCAATGCTTTGGGCATGGTACGTTTGAATAACCCATGTGGCACCGCCCGCTCTCACGATGGGCTTCCCAACTTTCGACAATCCCAGCCTCTCGTATGCTGCGCTGTGGTGAAAGAAATCTGCTGACTCCGCTGTACTACAGGAACATGTTCCTCGCCGCCGCTGTGTACTTCCACAAACGATTCGAAGAAGAGAAATGGATAGCAGACACCTTCCAATCGGCTATCATCACTGTCTCGACAGTCACAAACCTCGTCGTCATGTTTGTGCTTACCCACATGCACCAGACGGCCTCGTATCCCTTCCGGATCAACCTCGCCCTCATCATCAACACCGTCACCTTCAGCATGCTTGCCGCGTCGACTGTTTTCCTCGAGGATGCATCGCCTGCTGTGTATCTCGTGTTCGTGCTGGCCATGGTGGGCCTCACGGCATATGCGACCGGTCTAATCCAGAACGGGGCCTTCGCGTTTGCTGCCAGTTTCGGCAGGTCGGAGTACATGCAGGCCCTTATGGTCGGCCAAGGGGTGGCGGGCGTGCTACCCCCCATTGTGCAGATAGTATCCGTCTTAAGTGTACCCGGCGCCAACACGGCAGGGGAAAACGAAACAACACCACCGCCACCACCAGTACCAGAAGATGCCGGCTCTGGTTCCGGCACATCCGCCTTCATCTACTTCCTCACAGCCGTTGCCGTGTCGTTGGCCGCATTATTGGCCTTTATCCCGCTCGCGCGGCGCCACCACCGCCTGGTCGCGAACCGGATAGCCGACCAGATGGCCGAGTCCCTAGCCAGCATCGAAGAGGCGGAACGGTCCGCGCGCAAAGTAACCGGCCCCATTAAGCTCTTCCTCAAGCTCCCCTGGCTCTCCTCCGCCATCATCATCTGCTTCTCCACAACCATGTTCTTCCCCGTCTTCACGGCCAAGATCCTCTCCGTCCGCGGCGAAGGCGACGGCGTCCCCGCCATCTTCCAGCCCGCCGCGTTCGTACCCTTCGCCTTCTTCATGTGGAATCTAGGCGACCTCTCGGGCCGAGTGTCGACGGCCCTTCCCTTCTCGCTGCGCCACCGGCCCTTTTTGCTTTTCCTCATCAGCCTGGCGCGAATCTTCATCCTACCGCTCTACCTGCTCTGCAACGTCGGCGGCCGCGGGGCCGTCGTGCAGAGCGACTTCTTCTACCTCTTCGGCGTGCAGGTCGTGTTCGGCTTGACCAATGGCTGGCTGGGCTCGAGCTGCATGATGGCGGCGGGCGAGTGGGTGGAGGAGGGGGAGAGGGAGGCTGCGGGAGGTTTCATGGGGCTTTGTCTGGTGTTGGGTTTAGCGCTAGGGAGCTTGTTGAGCTTCTCGGTTGCTGGGTTATGATGATGTGGGGTTGTAGATGCGAGCGATTTCTGAGAGAATGGGTTGCATATGGATTGAGGGGCGGCGGGGGCTACTTCGCCAAGGGAAGAGTCCCTTGCTTGGAGGGCCATGCATAGGCCCTGCGATGATCTTGTACTGTTTAGAGGACCTTGCTTCGGATTTTTCTGTTATCATTTGCATGGTGTTTGGGGTCTGCTTGGTCTGGTGTGCATATACGTCATGGCATGGCTTGATTCCACGAGTTCTGGATATATTCTCTGTATCTTTCTTTCTTATTTCTTTCCTTGTTCATATCTGCGAAAGCAGGCATATAGGTTACGAGTTGAAGATTCATTCTGATATTACATCCCCTTCCCCTCACCCAGTTGAATAAAGGGACCTCGACGTGGCGCCAACACAAAGGTCGCATCTCCGGGCCGGATATCAAAACGCTGTTTCTCATATTACATCTCCGCGAACAACGAGGGGTTGAGAGGGTCATTTGATGTCTTGGGTAGATGTTTGCTTTCGATATTATCGTACCATCAGGTCTCTGATGCCCTGTTTGCGGCGATGCTTGATGCACGACTTGGGGGATCCCCTCAGCCAAAAACCTCAGCCAAAAAAAGGGCCGCGGATTCACATCCGGTCTTCCGTCGTCGGAGCCTTAAAAAAACAAGCTCCTCTTTCTTGCATCCTGCAGCCACGCTGTCCAGCATTCCCTGGCCAAGAGATATGAATCCCAGCTCCCCCCACAAATCCAATTTTATCATATTTCTCGAGGGCAGAGTCTTCCGGCTCTTCTTTCCCGCTGCAGGTCTGGTAACATCCGGTCTTTGTAGGTTTCGAAAAATAGACACTTCTTTTTCGGTGGGGAGCAGCGTGAGGAGGGGGGGGAGTAAAGGGAGTGTGAAAGGGGGTAAGAGTCAGAATGCCAAATTGTCTCGGATCTGGTCACACGAGCGTTTTCGGGGGGGAAGGTCCTGTTCTATAACTTGGCGCGTATAATACATGTCGGCCTGACGTGGTTGTTGTTTTTTAATAGCTGGAAGCAGACAGTTGTTTCTCTTTTTGTTGGGCTGCGCAAGCGCCGGCCTGTGGGGGAAGATCAGAGGCTTGGGTTGGACCGGATTGCTTGGACCTGACCCCACCAAGAATATTATAGAGAGTACGACATATATCAAGCGAGAGAGAGGGGGTGAAGCCTACAGGTACGTCTATCTTTGGAATGCGGGCGATCATATGGTTCTCCCGCCGCAGGAGAAAGGGCGCGAAGGTTGGGAAGAAGGGAAAAATATGGAAGACACGGAATACAGCCACTGCTCCGGTACTTTATCATGAGGCGGATTGCCCCCGCGGATAGAGGTGCAGAAAAAGGCGGAATAAGGCAGGCTTGTGAAGAGAGGATGTGATGGCCGGATTCAGCAGTTTCCTCTTTGTTTCGGGTACTACGAACGAATTTCGAAGCAAGGGGTGAGAAACAAATGTGTGTGTGTGGGTGTGTGTGTGTGTTCTGATGTAATTCGTTCTAGGTTGGGTTGCTGATCGCCGATTTTGCCAGGGAATCTTCTGCCAGCTGCAAGTTGCGCACCGGGATGACGTGCAGTGACAACAGGTTGGGAAGATGGGCCAAGGACGGGCAAGGATGGGGAAGCGAAAAAACGCCATTTGGCGATGCAGTCGAATGAATTTGGGAATTTGGGGGTTGCAAGTGAGGGGTAAGAGGAGGGAGGCCCAGCAAGGCAAATGGGAGATGAAGCCGGCATGGTGGGATTGTGATGTGGTGGTGATACATTGATGGGATGGGGAAGAGAGGGGGAGTGTACGAAGGTGGACAGCATGCAAAGAGGATTCAATGTACGTCGATGTGAGCCGCCCAAGGCAGAGAGAGAGGGGAAGGTAGGTCGACTTCGGCGTAGTGCCTGAGACAACGTCATGGCCGAAATGAGGATGCTCATCTTGATCTGTGATTCGATCGGTGTACGACACAGCCGTCGAAACGAAACGAAAAAAGGAACCTGGAGACAAAACATTAGAAGGATAGAAAAGGGCAACTGCGTGGAACACGTGGGAATGTTGTCAAGTGTGGCAGCCCTTTTGGAAGGACCCTGTTCCCATGTTTCCCATGTTTCTTCCCTTTCAGCCACTGGCCAGACGAGCCCGAACAACCTCCCTCAGACGCAAGATATTGGCTGGGAACCTGTCAAACACCGTCCCGGACAAGAAGCGTGCAGGTCGAGAGATGAGAGACGTCATTGGGTGGAACGGACATGGCGATGCAGATTGGAACTCTTGGACTAGGATGACGACGGAGTGTTGAAGGGGGTGTGGTTCGGGGATAGAAGGGGCCATATGACTGGATGGACCGCGAACCTCTGGGAGGGGTGAGCCAAGAAAATTCAGGGCCGGGGACAGGACTATTTTTCTTGGCTTTGGCTCGACCTGGCTTTGGAGACATCTCAATGGTCGGCCAGGCTCGTCCAAAATGGAGGCGACGGACTCAGGTTGGAGCCTCGGAAATCGCGGTGAGCCCTGACTGACATCACTGGTCTTGCCAATGAGCACTTTGTAGACTCCGATTTTTGTGCACACCGGACGTAAATTCTTGCCTCGCACATTTGTACAGCCTTCGAGGTTAGGGCTTCGGCCGCACATCTCAATTGTCCCTAATGTCCAAGGTGGCGTAGAAGAGGGGTGAGGAAAAGAGGAAAAGCGATATAAGACTAATAAGTCGACGCTAGAGTGTACTTCCGTAGTGTAGTGTACTTAGCTGTAATCCCGAGATAGTGCGCGAGAGACCAGATGATCACTTGCTTCTTAGCGTCAAATCCCATTTTCGGTAGTCTCTTCCTTGATGTGCGTGTCCGTCTTTTCTGCTCCTTCCTGTCCTTGTGTCTCGCAGTGCTCCTTCTTCTTTAACTCCAGTCTCGTTGGGTACTTCGCACAATTGTACGTCCACATTGGCCCATAGCCACCACATATTATACTTCTTACATCAATTGATACTTTCGGACACGACACCACACGTCTTGCCGCCTGCCCGGTCACCTGGGCCGACCTGACGATGGGACCAGACTTGGCTGATGGAACCTCGCATTGACAGCACCACATTGATACCACATCAATTCTGCGTGTTCAATCATGTTCCTTCGTACCGTTCTTAGTGCAGCGCCAGCATCGCTCATCATCAGCATCAGCCATCATCATCATACATCATCTACACCCCGGTCAGCCAGCCCTATTACATGCACTCCTTCCTCTTCAGCCACTCCTCAGTCTTCTTGCCCTGCCCAAGCCTTGAATTGCCTTGCATTGCATCCACTCCGCGGCACCACGTCGGCGGGGACCCTGTCTTGGACCTTGAGCTAGCACCGATCGTGAGGTGTCTCGTCGTATCGTGGATTCGTGGTCCTGGCTTATCACTTGTCCGCAAGCGCTCTTACCGCCCCTGCTATAAACAACTTTGACTTTTTTTTTCCCCGGTTTATTACATCGTGACTCCCACCGCCTCTCTCCTTTCCCTCCCCCCTTCTTCCTTTTCGCCTTTCCTCCGGTCCATACCACCTCCTCTTCCTCGTACAAACTCTAAAGCATCGACCACATTTTACCCCATCATCAATGAATTGCATAACAGATTCCCGAACTCTATCGACTTATAGAAGGAGTAAACGACGTCGCCTCTGACCAGCCTGATAGACGTCCGTTGCTCCATTCCGACATCGCTCGCAGCACTGAAATCTGGAATTCCTGCTGTTCGAGCATTGATCCTTACCGGTACTACTTCGTGCTTTGCACAAAGATCTCAGAAACTGGAAACCCAGACTCCACTTTCCAGTCTAGCTGTTCTTGTGGCGCCGGTCAAACTTTAGTTCTTGATTCGGGTCCTCACACTAAGAGACTTGAGGTTCTGCGCCCACCACAGAAAATCCGGTGTGGCCGCCCCCCTCTCTCTCATCTCTGGAGCCTCCGCCTTAGCCTCCTTGCAGGGAAAGGCCGTCTTTTGAACTTCCCCAAACGCTAGACATTTCCACAGCACGTACGGTTCATAGTAGTGTGCCCCACCGTTGACCGCTCCAATGGATCCTCACCATGGCGCCGCGCAAAACTTGCGCGCCGCTCGCTCCAAGCGCAGCCATGTCATGACTTCGCAAGCGGGCGGCGCCGCATTCTCCAGCTCGGCTCACCTGGAGGCACCAACCGCCACTTTATCCTCATCCTCACCTCCTCACCGGTCATCACCACGACGTCCATCCCTGGGTCCAAGACGCAAAAGCCGAAACTCGGCCCCTGCCGTGCCTACTCTCTCGATATTCCCCTACTCTTCCTCCTCATCCACTTCTTCTCTCTCCTCCTCACCCGGCTCAACGGCAACTTCTACCGCAGTCCCCATCGCCCTGCCTTCGAGACCGCTGCGAACCTCCCTGGCTAGTCGGGGCAGCGTGTCTAGGACAACCAACCCGTTCCTCCTCGAGACTTCCTCCTCTTCGTATCTCGGTGAGGATTTCGCGTCTTTCTCGTCGTCGCTTTCGTCCAACTATTCCTTTGCGCCCTCGAGTTTCGCTTCGACATGCCCTCTGGGCTTGTCCATGGATGAAGAGACCGCCGAGTCCTCGTTGTCTGAGCCGGATCCCGGGTTGGACTCCAAGATGGACCCATTCGGCAGTGCCAACCTGTACAGCGTCCCCGTTGGGACGAAGGTGAAGCAGTTTGTCGGTGAGGGCTCGGCCAACGTTGTTATCGAGTTGGATTTGCCGGAGGGGACGTCGGCTGCGACGAGGGAATTTTTCGAAGGTATGTTGCATGCGCAATATTTTGTGCTAAAATTAGAAACAAGAGTCGTTAACACTGAGACGCAGGCAAACTCTTGAGGCTGCAAAAGGTGTCAAGGAAACCCGAAAAACAGCCTTACCCCTATCCTGTGCAGTACCGCTATTGGAGAGAGCGTATTAAACCCATGTTTTCGGAAAAAGATGACCTCGTCAATATCGATCTCGTTCGTCTAGGGCCTGGAGGATCGAATCTTTTGAATGACGTTGACGATTTGCTGGCTCTGATGGATATGGCAACCTCGAGGAGTAGAGATCAGGCCCCCCCCGCAGATATAGAGGCCACGGTCAAGGCTCCCGAAGAGTCTCCGCTGAAGAAGAGGAAAAAGAAGTTTGTTGGCTCTAGGCTTGCGCGCGTAGAGTTTGGCATGCTTGTGGACGACATGCGAATTGGTACGTCATTGAAATTCACCAATGCTTCCCCTTTCATTCATTGAGCGTGTGTAAATCTAACCAATACACAGACGAGAGCGAAGGCATCATGATTGAAGTCAAGCCAAAGTGGCTTCTCCAATCACCCAGCGCCCCCACTGACGCCGTCCGCTGCCGAACCTGCGCCGTCCGTCTCCACCGCCGCCTCAAGGACTCCTCCTACGACGGAGCGCACCTCCCATGTCCGCTGCTTATGACCTCTGACCGTTGGGAAGACCGCAGCCTCTTCGTATCCCGGCTATTCGGCGACGAGGAGCTCGACGAGTGGTACGTCGCGCCCTTGCGCCGTTGGTTCAAGGGCGTTGCACCTTCGCGACCCAAGCGCCTCATCACCCAGGTCCGCAACATGCAGCGGCAGCTTGACCAGAAGGGCCCCCTGGGCTCCAACGCCGATGACGAGCAGTTCCGCCTCGCCATGACACTGCGAGACTGCAGCGTGTTTCTGAGAGTTTTGCGCAGACCCGGCGGGCAGGCCAAGGTGGTGGCCAAGATTGCCGACCTAGACAAGAAGAACTCGGCTGCGAAGATGGATTGGTGGAAGAAGACGGAGCTAGACCTCGTTAAGGGCGGTGCTTATTTTGCGGAGTATCGCGTTGATGTCGAACAGGGGAGGGTGGTCATCGCGGGGACGGAGTGTCATATGGAGATGGAGAGGAGGAGAGCGAGGAGGAAGAGTGAGGCGAAGGAACGCCAGCTCCAGGGTGAGCTGAGACTGAGGGAGGGCATGGAAGAGCATCATAATCGGCTCATTCGGGAGTGCGATCTGGAGAAGTATGTTGTGTGAGTTGGGAGCACTGAAGCTACGCTGGGTGTAGCTTGCTGGGTATGATTCTAGACGAAGCTTTTCGTTTTTGTCGTTTCTCTCTTTTTCCCTTTCGTTTCTCTTGGTCTCGGCATGGGTAACGGTTCAGGATATCATGTGTATGAATATTGCATGTGGACACGGCACTGCATGGGGCATGTAGACGGTACGGTCATGGTGATAGATACCCAAGATATATTTCCTCTTCTCTCTCATTCCCTGTCTTTCATTCTTTTCCTTTTACCGCGGGTTGTTCTTGGCTTATAAACGGCAGGTGTTGGGGGTGTATTACACGATGGATTTGTTTTGCATATTGTGATATTTCCCTTGCATGTGAGAGATGGGGAAATGCCTCTCGGGTTCACAGGTATCTCAACCGAGTAGATTCCGACTACAATCTAGAAGAAGATTCTTCATGGTTTATCTCTTCCAGGCCTCATTACGTGCTCTAATAGAACGAAATGATTGCAATTGCAAGATGCGTAGCTGCGGGGAGAGGAGTTCTTGCAACCCGAGGTTTCCAGCTGCGTGAGTGTGTCTCGATAGCTCTCCTTGCCTTGCTTAGAGATAAAGACCTAGACTACCCATGCGGAATGTTGGAGAGAAAACGGGGTTTTCTTCATTTCACTCATATGGCTCCTTGACCCTGACTCAACAGGAGCGCAGAAAGACTGCACGAGCGAGTAACGCTTTGGTGAAGGAACCCATCCCGGAATAGTTTGGGAGTTTAAGCTCTGCTACAGTCGGCATACTTTGATGTCCGAGCGGGGACGGGACGGTGCTGGCTCCCCTAAATAGTGTGTTCTTTGAACCTGATTTTAATCACTATTTGCGCCTCCCGGGGCTCTTCAGGTCGTTCCTCGACGCGGAAGCACACCATTATACTTCGTACTCTATATAAATTTCAGCCAAGGTAAGTCGCAAGGGCCAATTGGCCCGGGCCAGTTGGCTTGGATCACGATGCGGCTCCTGGTGATGGGATGGGGGCTTCACATCATAATACATCTCGGACCGAATATTGTAAACGTGCTCTATTCAGAAGACAAGGAAACGTTTGGGTCTGGGAAGAGTGCTTCGTGAGTCAATGCGACAGAGCATGCTTTCCTTCAATCCGGGTGTGAATTGAGGTGACCGGGGACGCGGAGGAGTAAGGAGACCGACTCTTATCCTCCCGGTCTGTTGCCCGGAAAATTTTCGCGGCCGGGATTTTACTGGCGTTGCTATCTTTACCATTCTGCGCCCCTTGTGGCAGAAGCTTTGGCCCTACAACTGCCGTAAGAGGCAAACCCGACGTGGTTGGAACGCTTCTTTCGTCCGAAGAACCCAAGCATCGAAAAATGGGCAGACAGAATTTATGCAAGTACCAAGCAGGCGTTATGAACGAGTGGCTCTCAGTGCATAGACTTGTACAGAGTAAGGCCATTCTGAGGAACTAACCTACACTAGACCATTTAGGGAGAACGATATCGTGACTGGACCTGAACGAGTGGGGATGGTGCGATATCGAGCGCGTTTTTGCTCTTCTTTTTTTCATCTTGGCTCCTCCCCCTTGGTCTAGTTCTTGGTCTTTGCGGGGGCAGTGGCACATTTCTGGGGAATTCGGGGGTCGATGCGTTTTTTTGCATGACTGAGGGAGATTTGATAGCCACTCGGTCCACCTCTTAATTCTTTCCACTGCTTCAGGATTGGATGGATGGTATCCAAGGGGTCCGGTAGTGGAAGGAATGGCGTCGATGCTGATTTGGTCGGAGCTCTGTGGGTTTGTGCTTTTTGGGGGTTTCCTTTCTTCAGATCGATGCTTGCAAGGCCTTGGAAGAAGTGCTTCCCCGCCTGCGGGGTTCTCCCCTTCTGTAGTGTGGTGTAGGGTAGATGGAGCTTTGCTCACTCTCCTCTCGCTTCACAGCTGATAGCTAAAAGCTTGAAGATAGGCGACCTCGAGGACCGAGAGGGGGGTCAGTCGGGTATCTCGGGTGACGCGTTGCTGGCGCCTACTCCGTAGTTTACAACCCGTTCTTTCTGACCACCACCCATCAAGGTCATCACGGAGGATGCAAGGTCAACCAAGCTCCGCCCATCCATCTGATGGAGGCCGCTCACTTTGGGTGACCACCTGAGGAAGAAAAGCAATGCCGTCACTCTACTGAGGAAGGGGTGGGGGGTGCTTGTGATGCTCGCAGTTATCGCGTCATCCTCCTCCAGCCGAAAACAACTTGCAAGCCTGACGTCTTGGACGTGTGATCCAAGAGCAAGCAATTTTCCAAACAAGAAAAAAGCGATGTTGATCATCGCCAGAAAAAGAAGAGTCAATCTTTTTGGGCCTTCTTTTTTGACGATGCACGATGGCATTAAGATTCGAAAGACAGACCGAAAAGAAAAATCATAGAGGTGTTACGATGCTGGAGCTCGCCGGACTTCGTAGCCGGTTGGTTGATCCACAGGATCGATAGTACGTTTGGCTCCCCGAATAGGAATCGGCTCGGGTAAGAATCGATCGATGGACACAGTTTTGTGGCCTTGTGCGGACCTGCAGTCTGAGCCTAAGCCCCCGAAAGGCCCCGAAGTGCCGGGAAAGGGCTTCCTTGGTAATACGCCTTCGTAGTGGGATTGGCAGCGGTCGCCCCCGGGTCCATTACTTCATCACTGTGGACTGTGGCTCCCTGTGGAGAAGAAGTCGAGAAACTTGATTTGCCTCTTGCTCCTCTTCTTCGTTCACAAGTCTTTAGCAAAACTGGGGAGATCCACATTATTGATTCGCGCCTTCTCGTTGGTTCAATTGTTCGCTGTCAGTCAGTATTGTTTATCGACTTTGTGTCGCGTGTACAAATTCTGCCGCGGTCTATTCGCCTGCAGACGAGGTACAGTTGAGGTTGCACTCACGCGCACACACTGGGTTGGTACAATTTGTGCAGGCGGCAATCCCGCATGGCAACCTCGGACGTTCGGATATAGTGTACATGGGTACAAGACCTCCTGAGCATAGCTCAAATTTTTCCTTCGGCTTGAGGTTCAATGCTACTTTGTATAGCGCTGCTTGAGGCCTCTGACACACTGTGGACTGCTGGAATGATGTTCTGAATCAATCACTGCTGCGACAGTATCAATTCGTATTGACTCCAATTGTGAACCGTACCTTGGCCTGCCTCTTATCACGTTGCCCCCTTTCGCCTCTGCCATTCTCCCTCGCCTCTTTTCTGTTCCATCTTGATCCTTTGTCATTCCCCCCAAGCCACACTCAAAGCATAAACAAAAGAAACAACAAACGTTCACTTGACGGCGTCGTCCTCCCGTTTGTTGCCATCTCCAACTTCTTCATTCAATCGACAAACGCCTTATTCATCGTTTGCATTTGGCGCATCGCTCTCTTTTGATTCATTTTGGCCTGGCCGTCAAGAATACACTACATAAATTGCATCAATCTCTCCCCTTTCCTGCTGCTCATCTACCTTGATCGAGCTTAGCTGCTTTGCCTGCCGACCCACCGCGGACCCGAATCTACCAACCAGCCCCTTGGTTCCATTTTCGACGCAACCGAAACCAAAGGAACCCGAGACCGCCCAGAAGCAGAGCCCCCAAACAGGAGAGAAGAAGAAGAGGTGACTCGTGCAGGTTCAGAGGCAAAGGAAAAAAAAAAAGTGCCCGTCGTCCCACTCGACGAACCCACGAACTTCCCACACACACCAACGATTGTTAATTCCTCCCTCGCCCGCACCAGCATTCTTTCTGCTGTTTGCTTGTTTTAATTTTTTCCTTCTTCTTTTCCGTCGTCCATCCTTCACACCAACCTCCTCTCGTTTTACGGTCCCCGTTCCACTTCCTTCCGCATAAGAGACAGCAACAGACGAGAACGAAGGAAGACCTTTTCCCATCACCCGAGCTTGGTGCATCCCCCCGATGGTTGCGACGCAATAGTGCCATTTCAACATGGCCTTCAACTTCAACTGGTCGCCGCTCGCGGCCGACGCGCAATTCTACAACCGAGCCAAAGACCTGCTCACAAGGGCCCTCAACAAGTCCCCGAAGCCTCCCATCATCGTTGATGATATCCTCGTCTCCGACTTCCACCTGGGCTCTACGCCCCCCGACCTCGAGATCCTCGAGATTGGCGACCTCGCCGAGGATAGGTTCCGCGGTATTTTCAAGATGTGCTACTCCGGCGATGCCGCTGTGACGCTCAAGACGCGTGTTCAGGTATGATTTTTGGATTGCTTGTCTTTTGCTGTCATGCTTGCAATTTTCTTCCCTCTCCCTAGACGATAAGCTGTTGTTTTTTTTTTTTTTTTTCCCCTCGTTATTTTGGGGAGACTCTTTATCTGGTTACGCGACCTGGTGTTTTTTTTCCCTAGTGCCGAAGCTTCAGAGCACCACGGCACAGACGCAAATTTTTGCGACCAGGCTTAATTGCTCAGCTACCTCCGCCATTCCCGCTACCAAAGCTCTCGCCGAGCCATTGGCGACAGCATCACCATCGCAGACAGCAGACAGCCCCGTACCAATGCCAATCGCTGCTCCATCAAATCCTTTATCTCCCATCGTTGTGAAGCTGCCTGCAAACTTTCCCCTTCCATTTCGCCCCCTTATTTCCGACGATGCCGCAGTCGTTTTGTTTCATCAGCTTTTCCTCATCGCCCCTCTTTCCTTTCTCACCCTAGCATCCATGTTTGCATTGATTTCCAAATTACCCCAACCGGGATTACACACGCTATTGTCGCGACCTGGATAGTCAATGCAATAGCAGTATGCTAATATATCAACACCACCGAAATAGGCAAACCCAATGAACACTTACCTCAACTGCACGCCGTCCTTTACGTCACCGCAACCGCTAGCCGCATCCGACGGACTCACGATACCTCTGTCCATAACGTTATCGCATATTCGCCTGTCCGCCTTCATCATCGTAGTCTACTCGAAACACAAGGGCGTCACCATTGTCTTCCGCAATGACCCCCTCGAATCCCTCAAGGTCTCGTCGACCTTTGACTCGATCCAGTTTGTGCGCGATTACCTGCAACGCACCATTGAGAACCAGCTCCGGAACCTGATGATGGAAGAGCTGCCGAGCATAATCCACCGATTTTCCCTCCAGGTCCTATGCCATCGCCTGCCGCGTGATGACAAGGACGACGGCGAGGGTGTCATTGACCCACTTGCGAGCCCGCCCCTCGATCCCGTCGATTCGGCTGGCAACTTACTCGACCCGAGCCAGATCTCCGAGCTTAACCTCACCGATAGCGAAGAGGTTCAGTTCCAATTCCGCTCGCTCTTCTCGAACTTGAACTTGATGCGCCTCACCGAGGTTGCCACCGCCCACAGCTTCCTCTCGACTTTTACCCCCGGTCTTAAGGATATTCAACTCCGCGCGACGGATTCTGACCTCTCGGACACTAGCGGAAGCTCGACGCCTCGATCTCCTCGATCTCCTAGCCCCGGCCACGCCAAGACGTACTCGTTCAACCCCACGTCGACCTCGTATACGTACTCCGACTCGGGAAGCTCCTCCAATGGACAGATCCCCTCGCGCCCTTCGTTGGTCAACTTCAACTCGGCCACCACCGGGCTGGCATTGGGATCTGGCAGGTCTCGCTCGTCATACACCGCGCGGAAAAGGAAACATCGGGTTGTCAATCTCAGGAAGTCCAAGTCCGAGAGCGGATCGGAAGCTTCTAGCGAGGCGGGCGATTCTAGTATGGATAACGCCTCGGCCGTCACGGAAACCGCTTCCGAGCCTCTCATGACTAGCAGCATTCCCGAGGAACCCGAGGAGGAGATTGCGGCGCCCGCCGTGCCTCCCACTGCCTCTATCAAGAAGACCCGCTTCGAGGATACTGCGGAGAAGAAGAGGTCCAGGATGCCGACTCGTTCGCCTCTCACATCCGATCTGTTTAGCAAGCCCGAGGAGGCTGCCCCGTCCGCAAACGTCGCGCCGATTGTCGCCGACGAGAAGCCCGCTGCCAAGCCTGCTTCTCCTGCTGCCAGCTCTTCGCGTGCCACCAAACCCGAGAAGCGACCTCAGACCGAACAAACTTCGCCCGCTTTTGATGCACCATCCATCATCCTCGAGCAAGCCTGGATCATGAAGATGGCCGGAGAGATCGCCCGCCGCGTGTACGATGAGAAGAGCCGCCGGGAAGCCCTTTGGGACGACAGGGAGGATGTTCCCCCTCCTTACGAAGCCGCCTCTAGGTAGGCTGTACAACCACAACTATCAATAATCGAGGGGGGAAACCCACTCGTTCGGCCAACTTTTTATTTCTCTTTTTCCTTGCGTCATCTCATCTCCTTATCGAATTATCAGCTTGTTGTCCCAATACAGCTTTTTGGCAAGGCGTTCCGGTTTCTTTGACACAATTCAGGCTCTCCTATCAAGAAGGATGAGAGGAAGGAGAAGGGAGGGGAAAACAGGAGCGCGCTTTTATTCCTAATGTATAACCACACCCCGTGTCATAACGGCGTTGAGAGGGAGTTTTTGAGTCTATTGTAGGACAATTCGTCTCTGCACTTTTTCTTTTCTTTTCCTTTTTTTCAGCTTGTTACCATCAAAAATTGGGGCGTGTGTGTGGGGGGGGGGAGAGAGAGAGAGCAAACCAACTCTGCAATGATGGGAAATTTTTGGAGACTTTAGAACGGAAAAAAAGGGTTGAGGAGTTTCACGGTTCGCAAAAACACAACATCAACAAACCTGGGATTTAGAAGAAAGAACAAAGACTCAATGTCGGAGGACCCGTGATTGGAACCCCTTTACCACTTTTCCTTTTGTCTCCTTTTTGCTCTCGTTCGTTTCATGATTAACTGCTGAACAGGAGGGTGTCGAGATACCCATATATAGCAGAAACCAAATTTTTTGTCTTTATCATCATTGTTTACCCATTGCCCACGCAATCATTCGAACCGCCTACGTCTTTTCCTTTGTCTATTTTCCTTACTTGGGAAGGTTGGAATGGGAGGGTCGACGTCGCATGGGAGAGAATGGGAAGAATCTCTTATTATACACACATGCTGAACGGAAGCAAGAAAAAAAAAAACCACCTCAAAAAGAGGGTACAGAGGGATACAAAAAGAATGGGATTCCCGGAATTCGTGGCTGGTTTGGTTGGCTTGGTTTGGTGGAGTTGTGCTTAGAAGACTTCTGTTTTTTTGTTTGATCTTGGGGTTATTATTGCTCCTCGTCCTGGATGGACTGAGGGCCCTTGAGCGGCTCAAGCTAGCTCGTAGAAATTCCACTCTCATTAAGTGTGCGATTCCGATTTGTCTCCTCTCCTGTGCTTGTGTGATTGATCTAAGGCTGCTGTTTGAAAATGATCTCGATGTTGCTTTTTTTGTCTACTTTACTCCTTAACGCCGTCCGAAACCCAGCCAACCGCCAGCCTCCGTTTTGATATCCCTGCTCTTCGTATACTCATACAAGAAGGTTCTGGCTCTTAAATGCATTTATAGCCAAGTCACCCCACTCATTCCATGCCATCGTAATCCCGCCTCTCAACTTCTCTCACGGACACGACCTCCTCGACCCACGCCTCCTAGGCCGATAATCCGAATCATCCCTCTCCCCCTCCACATCTGCCTTCCAATCCCCATCAGCCTCCAGCTTCTTCACCGACCTCCTCCTATTCCTCTGCGGCGGCTTCTTCACATTCGCACCAGCAGCAGCAGCAGTGTCGGCAGTGGCGGCGCCGCGCAGACCAATCGGCGGAGGAAGTCCCTACGTCCCCGCCTTCTTCGCCAGCGCCTCCGCCGCCGCCGCATTCTCCGCCTTCAACTCCGCCAACCTCTTCTCCTTCTCCGCATTCGCCGTCTTCGTCTCGTCGATCCACCCCATGACCTTCTCCAATGCTTTACTAATCCTCTCCCGCTCAATGTCTTCTGTTTCTTTGGAAAATGGCTGCTCGGCCGTTAGGTGCAGCGGCACCAGCGCCGACCTCTCATACACAATCCCCGAGGCCGGATCCACCGCCGCCGGCTTCTTACTCGCGGCGCCCTTCCCCCCTGGTGCTTGTCCGGCGCGTGCATGCGCCCCCGACGTGAGCAGGTTGTAGAATACCTCGTAGGGCTCGTTGAAGAGCTGCTCTTCGTAGTTCCACGCGATGATGGCGCCGTCGGGTTGGCGCGAGCGGGCTTTTTCCTCGTCGTTTTTGCCGTACGGGTGGAGGCGGAGGTGGTGGTAGAGGGTTTGGGCTTTTTCGCCGGATTCGCTCGAGTAGTAGAGTTTTATTGTGATTTCGAATTCGCCCCAGCCGGTTTCGTTGACGACGAAGGGTTTGCCTTTTTCGCCTTCGACCACTAAAGGGGTTCAAGGTCAGTCGCACGGTTTTTTCTTTTTTTTTGCCTTGCCCTTCTAAAAGGATGCGGTAGAGATTCACATACTCCGCACATGATTCGGGATCGACTCGTGAAGTTTAAACTGCACCCTCCGAAGCCAATACGTAATATCCGTGTCGTCCACGCCCTTGATGAATACCTGCCACGAGTGCGTGTGGCCGTCGGGCACGTTTGGGGGTTTGGGATTGGTCTTGTCGTCGAAGGGGCGCGCTGTCGTGCCGTAGATGAAGGGTCGGCTGATTTGGACGCCTTTCATGCGTTTGCCGAGTTGGTTTGGGGGCGCCATCTTTTTGGGAGATGGCCGCGACGATTTGGGCGGATAGAGGAAGCGGGGGGAGCGGGAGGAGAAAAGTTGCGATTTGGGGTTGAGATGTTGAGAGAAAGTACTTCGTAGAATCGAGCTTGCCACAATAGGCTTGTGATTATGCTCAGTGCCTAAGGTACTTCGTACTTGGGACTCACTATTTTAGCAGGAGGCTGACAGAGCCTTGCTCAGAACAGTGAAGACTGCAAACGTCCACGGTTGGTCCGTGCGAGAAACCCTGCCGAAATCAAGCTTGGATTTGGTGATCAAATGTTGCTTGCTGAATGCGGTGTCGGATCAGATAAATCGCACCACTTTCTCATTGCTGTTGAGCTCAATTCACTGTTTTCGGCGGGTCAATTGAGACCAAACATAATCCTCAATCATCTTTTTTAATGTCGATAAGCTAGTTTGCATACACATAGCTAGCATCCTCTCTCTAAGAGCTCAGTGCTGCCTCTGTGCACTATCCGCTGAGCTCCTTCATCCCACCCACAAGCTTCACGCCACCTCATAGCCGGACCTGCATAGCTAGCTCTAAGCTCGTATCAGCCCAGCATGTCCGCCGTAAAGAGGATCATAGTGTGCGGCGGAAATGGCTTCCTTGGCTCTCGCATCTGCAAATTCGCCGTTGCGCGCGGCTGGGATGTAACCTCCATCAGGCAAGCTCTCCCACTCGCACTCATCACTGTCTCCCTCACTCATACACATCTCTTCACATACATAACATGACCGAAAAAAAAAAGAAAAGAAAAGAAGAGCTTCTCCCTCTAACGCCCAACCAGCCGCTCCGGTGAACCTCGTTGGGATGCCGTCTCCTCATCCTCATCCCCTCCACCCTGGGCCCACAAAGTCTCCTGGGAACACGCCGACATCCTCCAGCCCTCCACCTACACGCCGCTCCTCAAAGATGCCGACTATGTCGTACACTCCCTTGGGATCCTCCTCGAAGCCGACTACAAGGGCATCGTCCGCGGCACCCAATCGCCCCTCTCCGCCATCAAAACTTCCTTCGCATCCTCGGTCGACCGCGGCGTCAACCCCCTCGAGCGGAAGGAGGGTGAGGACATCAAGCCGCCCAACCCCAAAGACCAGATGTCCTACGAGATAATGAACCGCGATAGTGCCATTACGCTGGCGAGGCATGCCGAATCGAGCAATGTCGGTACTTTCTGCTACGTCTCCGCCATGGCGGGGCCGCCGGGCGTGCCGTCGAGGTATCTTTCGACGAAGCGCGAGGCTGAGAGGGCTATTGCGGAGCATTTTCCTAGGATGAGGAATGTTTTTGTGAGGCCGCCTTTTATGTATGATAGCTCGAGGGGTATTACTGTGGGTATCGCCGCTGCTACCGGTGTTGGGACGCTGTTGAATGGGATTACGAGGGGTGTGTTTGGGGGCTTGATGGGGGCTGGTGGGATTAAGCCGCTCAAGGTTGAGACCGTTGCTGAGGGCCTCGTGGAGGCGCTCGCTGATGAGAGCGTCAGTGGGCCGGTGGAAACAGAGCAGATTGAAGAACTCGCGTCAAGAGGCTGGAGAAAGAGCATGTTGTAAGATGATCAGTGGCCCGATTCATGTTCTTTTCTATGTGTATTACCATCCGCTAAAGGCATAGACTGTAACAATACTATTGAATAATTTCTCCCCCCTTCTTAAAAAAAAAAAAAGATCAAATCATAGTACCGCGCTCGAAGCTGTCCCGCAGATCCGCCGTATACTTGTTGTAGAACCTCGCCAGCTTCTGGTTGAACTGCTTGTTCTTCTCGTTGATGTATGTGACATCGCCATCGTCCCCATCCTTCGCCATCCTCTCCCTCCTCTTCTTCAACCTCTGGTCCTCCGCCCTCCTCAAATCCTCCACCAACCGATCAATCGCCGCCTTATCCGGCTTATTCTCCGCAAACGCGGTCGAATCCGACGTAGAATAAAATGACCCGTCCTTATCCACGGCAATGAGCTCACCGTCCTCCGTCTCAATAATATCCAACCCGCCACTAGCCGCAGCCCTCTCGACGGCCGCCATCTTCTCCTTTTCGTACTTTTCCATATCGGGCGCTATATTCCTCATCTGGCGCTTATAAACCTTGTTGGCCTCCGAGGTGTAATCGGAGAAGAGGTTCCCGTCACGTCGCCCGGCCTTCTTCTTCATGCGGCGATCCCACGCCTCACTCTCATCCACCGTCCAGTCCCATGCGCGCTTCCGCTCGAAATCGCCGCCCGCCTCCTCGATGTCCGCCTTGAGAAGCTTGTGCGACGCGATGGCGTGCTTGCGGTGTAGGGCTGAGAGTTGGGAGGGATCCTCGGAGACGCGTTGGGCTTCGCGGGTGGCGGCTTTGAAGTTTTCTTCGGAAGAGGTTTTGGCGCGGGCTTTGAGGGCTTTGAAGCGGGCGAGACGGTCTAGGGCTGCTGATTTGGTGGGGGGGGTGGCTGTGGAGGAGGAAGGGGGGTCTGATGGGGTTGATTCAGAGGGCTGGCTTGGTTGGGAGAACTTTTGTGCTCGTTGTTCTTGGGGGTCCTCATCTTGTGTCATGGTAGTTGAGGTCGTTTCGGCGGGGGTTTCCTCGACAGGCGTCTCTGATGAGGCGGTTGCGGTGTCTGCGTTGGTATCGGGGTCCGACCCGGTTTCAGTCTTCCTCTTCTTGGAGGGAGGCATGTTGAGAATCAAGATTTGAATATGTTTTGTTTGTAGTTGCGGTGTAGTGGTTGGGTTTGGAAGAACGGATGGACGTTGGTAGTAGGGGATGGTGCTGTGGTCGTGAATCTCGACGATGGTGATACGACGAGAAAAGGCTATTGCTGGGTCGGCTATTGCTGGGTCTGCGGTTTCTTGAGCCTAGCTTATGTAAGGCCAATGTCACCAGCCACAACAAGATGCACCAGCCACGCTTCGACAGCCATTCAGAACAGAGAATTAAGCTCTGGACGCCAAGATCCAATTGAGACAGCCTCTCCACTTGACGCCAGTTTGACCCACGCGTTGAGCCGCAATGAGGATAGTGCGCTCCAAAAATCAACTCAATAACCTCAAAAATCCGGGGTAACCCCATACCAAGCTTCTCATGTCCCCACTTGACGAACAAATCCGCTTATACTCTCCGCCGCGATCAAGGGCCGCATGATGAACAGGTCGCCGTCTCTACCGGTCTCTTTAACCTATCTGAGGCGGCCTGTTGGGGGAACCAATCGGCACGTGCCAACTCCCGACACGCGGCTCATCTCAGGGAGGGCTCTCTCTCATGGCCATCGCGTCACCCCTGCTGGCGGAGCCGCTGGAGCGGAGGCAGCTCCTCGCCAGGCCAGATTCCAGTCGGATCTTGCCACGAGGTTCCGCATCTTCAAGACAACTCCAAAGCCTAGAGAGAAGTTGACGAAGCCGGATGCGGAGACGTACTTATTCTCGGATCTCGTTCTCGACTTGGGCTCCGAAGGGACCCGCGGCGTGAGGGACGCTGAAGAGAAGGATGAGGTCGCTCTAAATACGAAGTGGCACCTCGCCGCCTCTAAGACTGAGGAGAGAGCGCGAGAGAGGATTCTAATGGAGGCTGAGGACGTGAATCGCTCGATGGGGAATTATGGCACGCTGCAACGCATCCGGGGCGGCTCGTCTTGGCGAATCCGAGACAGTGACGTTGTCTCTATCGCATTACGGGGTGCACCCTCGTTCCGAGACAGCTCGCCTGCGGGGCATTTAGCATCGGGACCCAACATAGCCGTCGAATCCCCCGAAGAGTCTTTTCTTCTCAGAAACGGGATTCCTCATATAGTCTGGGAGGATGATGGATCGCTGCTTAGATGGATGCTTGCGAGGCGGGACCCTCGTCGGGCCTCCTCTATCCCCGCCCACAACCTCGACAGGATGATCGACTATCATGCTTCTACAAAACCCGATTCATATCTTTCTCGTCGGCTACTTTCACTCATCTCCAGGACTGAGGCGCCCGTTACGGTCACGGGACCCCTCCAGCGGCGGATATACGAGGATTTGCTCGAAGGCGACGACAAGCGGGCCAAAGAATTTAACACACCGTACGACGTTCTTAGTTTCATTGCCCTCCTGCAAAATGTGGTCGAGAAAAAAGGTAGCGGGCTACTCCCCGAAATCACACTTGTCGGCCTTCAGTACTCCGCAGAAGTTCACCATCTCGAATTCACGGCGCGATATCTCGAGATGGCTATTGAAGACAAGGAAAATGACCAAACATTGGCGGACCAGTTTTCAAGATATGTGGCAAACGCGCTATGGGCACTATCACGGAATCTAGACCTAGCCGCTGCGACATCTCCCAAATCGATATCGAGGCGAGACGTACTCCATCTTCTTGCGGGAGATCAGTTCCAGAGGCCCGCTTCACAGGATTCTTTCCGTATCGCCATGGCCGATCCGTTAGTCCGCAGGGAGGCGTATCCGACCTACATCCAACTCCTCGCGAGACTAGGAGCTTTACGCACTCTATGGCATGAATGGAGGGAATTGGTCGTCGTCGAACCCAATATGGGGAGCGAGCATTCACCACTACGATACGCAGACCTAATCGCGCGTAGTCTCCTCGACGCACACGATGTTATCCTCGCCTACCGACCCGAAATAGGGACTCCAGATGGCACCTTATCATGCAGCGTCGAGCAGGATATTATGTCTATACCGGAAGGAGCAATGCCACCGTCTAGTGACAGTACGGAGCATGCTAGTGATGATTACAATTGCCGCATCCCAATGCCAGATCAGCTGCCGGCGCTGGTGGCCGAGGCGTTAGAGGAGAAGTCGATAGCGCAATATATTGCCAGCATCCAGGAGCTAATTGGCGCTGCGGTTGAGGCTGAACAAGGCATGGAAGAATGATCTGGCAGACGTGGGTCTGCAGGGCTGAGCGCACATGCATATATGAATCGTTGGCTTTATGCCGGTTTGGTGATTGGGAAAGTCAGGGTGGGATCGAACCATCCAGGGGCTCTGCGTTGTGCGTCATCCGCAGTCTCGGACTTGTTGGTCAAGGATCGGTTTTGGCGTTGCAAAGGAAGCTGGACCAAGCCTATGCTGCATCAATCCGCCCAGCGCAGCGCATCGTATATTTTCTTCATCTTTTATCCGCATGCTGCATTATTGGAGTTTAAACAACAATGTCAGAAGATCAATATGTATTAACCGTCTTCGTCTCTTGTCTGCAACCATTTCCCCTTCTGTTCCCTCATCAATCATCAATCACTTATCCCCTGGCCCCATGCGAAGGCGGCCGTCCTGTCAGGAACTCGTATTATCATTCCTTGCACAAGGGCGGTCGTCTTCGCACCAGTCAGAGGCCACCAGTGTCATCGTCAGACCACGCACCCACTTTCTGACGACCGAAAAGCTGAGAGATTTTGGTGGCTTGCATTCGAATCTGTGCGACCAATATGGGAGGCCCATCCTGTCTTTTTTTCTTCTCATTCCCCCAAAATTCCAACCCAGCCCCGAGCTCGCATGCATGCACCAAGTTGGACTGAGAGGGGGGCGCATTTCAGCACGGATGATTGGATAACATGCGGTAATTGACTGATGAGCTCTTCCAGGTTCAGGACATGGGCTCAATATTTGGCTTATCCAGCTTCTTGCCAAGTACTCAGTATGCACACCCACCTTCAGATTCATCCCCATCGCCGCTATTTTTTTCATTTGTTTTTCTTTGTTCCCATCGAGTCTCAGATTCTGTCTTCCCCGCTTACGCGGCAAGAGAGCTTCGGGAATAGCCTCCCTCTCTTTTTTCCCATAGGGCGACGAATAGTGACTCGCGAGATTGATATTGGACACCACACTCACAGATACCGCTCTTTCGGGAGATGACGACTAGAAACACAGAGAAACACAGAACCCAGCTGCCTGGGCAGGGTTGAATGGGAGGGAGGATCCGAACTCATCTGTCTTACTTCGTACAATGACGGGGTCTCACGAGGGATATTACGCCGCGTTGTTCGATCCTCGCACCCATTGATTTCTCGGGGGAACTTGAGTCGAGTTCTCGTGTCTTTCTTTCTGCAAGCTGGAGGAGAGGTTACTCAAAGAAACAATAGGTCCGTTAAAGTGCGGAATTTTCCCATGGTCGTTTTTCAAAGATAGGACAGCTGCTTGGGGAACATGAAGAAATACACGAAGAACGAAGGAAATTTTATCTCTTTCTCTTCTACTTTTCCACTTCGCCCATGCTCTAGGAAGTACGAATGTAGACACGCGAAGATAGACATGCAAGATCCTCCACCCTGTCAAATCATGCTGTCGTCTCAACAAGCTACCCACCTCGTCATTCCTAAGGCCTTTGCCACCCCAGCCTTAAAAGCATGGATGCCTCTTCTCTCCAATCTCCTATAGGTCACCGTCACTGCCCCCCCTTGCTAGGCCAGACCTCGCTAGCGGAACGCAGCAGATCCAGCCCATGAAATGACCTCTGTGCAACAACTCCGTAGAGCTGGTCTCCGGCCTTTACCCAGTAAGAATACTCGAGGATCTCGTATGGAAAAGAGAAAAAGGCGCCCAGAGATTGCAAGCCCGTTTTTTTCGCCTGCCAGCTCAGGAAGCTTCCCTGCATTCTTTCCCTACCCTTGCGACCTTTTCTGACGCTCACCCACATCTTCCCTCTCTCCTCCACACAGTGGTGTCCCCCCGGTGCTTTCTTTCTTTCTTTTGTTTTTCTCACTTTTTACCTCTTCCATTCGTTCGGCGTAATTCTTAAGCCTCTCTTACTGTTGGGAAGTCCCTGCACTCCATTAATACCTATATCCGCAAGGCCCTATTGCTACCCCGTCCATTTTTGTCTCGACAACTACTACCTCTCTCCACCCCACCCTCGAGTTTTCTTCCCCATCGAGTAAAAGTATTGTCCCGCCCTCCCCGCGGGAGAGACCCGGCCCCAAAAATAGATCCATGAATAGACTTCGGTCGCTCTCAACATGATATGGCCTCCCTACCGCTCCGTGCCGGGGCCGATGGCGCGTTCGGACACGGGCGATCGGGCGATCCGTCGTCGCGGCGGTAGCACGTCGTTTCCTTTACTTGTGCTTCTCCTTGTACTTGCTAGCGTCGACCTGTCGTGGCAGCAAGGAGATCCGGTGTCGAACTTTTGCAGACGGTTCGGACACCAGACGACAATTGTTGATGAAAGGCTTTACATTGATGGGGGGTTCTTGAATTATAATCCTCTTGAGCAGTTCCCGGAGAACTATACAAGTATGTCTTTTCCTCTTACACCCCAACCAACCTTCCGACGAGAAAGAGTCCCAACTAAAACATTCGTTTTTCAAAACAGATGACTACCTTTTCTTCCACGACCTCTCCACAGTCGCCAACTCGGGCATGCCCCAACTCTACGCCAACCTCTCCAAAAACCGCACGATCCCCAGCCTCCACGGCGGCGTCCTCTGGGGCGATTCGGTCAACAAGCGCGTGTACCAGTTCGGCGGCGAATTTCCCGGGCGCGACCTCACGACTCCCTTTCGCGGCATCTACGCCTACGACATCCTCGATGACCAATGGGATTTCTTCGGCCTCGATCACGTCTCGCAGCCGGCTTCGACGGTCATTTACCGCACGAGCTACGGCGCCGGCGTCGCCATCCCCGAGCGCGGTGAGGGCTACTATTTCGGTGGGTGGATCAGTAACCGGTCGGAACCGAACTGGGGCGCTACGCCTGTCGCGACGTCGTATCTTGTCAAGTATGAGATGGATAAGAACTTGTGGACGAATAGCTCAGGCCCGGCGGATCGTGTGGGAAGGGCCGAGGGGAGCCTCGTCTATGTGCCCGCGGGCGACTCCGGGATGCTCGTGTACTTTGGGGGCGTGCGGGATAAGTTTGGGAACGGGACCGTGATTGAGGGGCAGCCGATGGATGAGATTTTGTTATACGATGTGTTGAGCTTTAAGTGGTATACGCAGAAGGCGTCGGGGACGATACCGGAGATGAGGAGCCGGTTTTGTTCGGGGGTTGCGTGGGCAGACGACCGGTCGTCGTATAACATGTGCGTTTTTCGTCTTCTCCTCCTTGCCCATTTTCGAACCTTCCTTTTCCATTCAAGCACTAACATCAAGAAAAAAATATGTAGATATATATATGGCGGCGCGGGCATGCCCCCCAACACGGCAGGTTTCGACGACATCTACGTTCTTTCCCTCCCCACCTTCACCTGGATCAAGCTCTACCCCAACGACACGACCTCCAGCACCGGCGAATACCCGCACCACAGCCTCTCCTGCAACGTCCACCTCGACGGGTCCCAGATGCTCATCATCGGCGGCAGCTTCCCGGTCTCGGACATGTGCGACACGCCCGAGCAATGGGGCGTGCACAACCTCGACATGGGACGTCGGAACTCGGACGGCGCCGTGTGGCAGCTTTACGATCCGGCGAAGAAGGGGTACGTGGTGCCATGGGATATCCGGAACGTCGTGGGGGGTTCGGAGACAGGCGCCAGCACGAAGAGGGAACCTGAGAACGGCTTCAGCAGTCCCGATTTAAAGACTTTGCTTGCTAGGACTGCCTCGGCGCCTACCCGCACACCTACGAGAGACGTCGGCGGGGACAAGGAGGGCGGGAACAAACTCTCCACGGGCGCCATCGCAGGCATAGCTGTCGGAAGCGCCGTGGGAGCCATCGTGCTCCTCTCTGCCTGCATCTTCATCATCCGCAAGAGACGCGCGGCGGGCAACAAGCCCGAGATGGCAATGTCCCCCGGCGGTGGCGGAGGAGGACTAGGACCAGGACCCCACGGCTACCCATCTCCTTACTACGAACCCGTCAGCGCCTACCCCAACAGCCCACCCCCTCACTCCTCCCACTACAACCAATACAACCTCCCCGTCCCCGTCCAATCCTCCCCCATCGAACTCGCCGCCTCCTCCCCACACCCACCAACGACGCCGGGCCCCTACGAAGCGACTGCGACGCCCGATTCTACGCACGCCAAAGTCGACCACGGATCGTGGACGCCGGATCATCACCGGTCGTACTCGACGCTACAGGCGCACTCGCCGAATCCTACGAGTCCCGGGGCGTATACGGCGTATACGACTAGCTCGGGGTACGGGGAGGCGGCGCACGAACTTAGTGCAACGCCGGGGTTTGAGAGGAGGAGGGAAAGGGGTAGGGATAGGGAGCCGGGGAGGGTTCACGAGACGTATTATCATGCATAATAATGTGATTTTCTTCCATTTTTTTTTTTTTTTTGTGATTCTTTTTGTTGGGTAGCGTTTTGCGCCTGGGGGTCTTACACGTTGGAATGTATCGTAGCAAGGAGTTTATCGCACCCCCAAAAATTGATATACCATAATCTCGACGAGAAAAACTAAGCATCCAGATCATGCGAAGGAACCCCTTCCCTTCGCCCCTTCCGCGCCATCACCAGTCCGTCCACCAAAAGCTTTATATACCACCCCAAGCCCAAAGTTACCAGCCGAGCAGCACTGCAGGGTGCACTCGGGGATGGCTTCCCCAAACTGCTCAATGGTTGTCAGCAAAAACTGCGGTTTTTCGTAGCCTCGGAATCGTCGATTCGACGCCCGGGGTGAGCTTTTTGCACTTTTTTTTTCTGAAGAATTTTCTTGCCAAGAATAAGAATCGACTCATTTCCAGGCCTCTTACCTAAAGATACCTGGTCCAACCTGATCTCGTGAGGATAATCCGAATCTTGACAATGCCAAGGGGAGTAGAAGTGACGATGTCCCATTCGCTTCGTTTCAGTCCCCCCCCGATATCGCCACGCACACAACGGACACGACCTATCTCCGATCAAGCCGGGCTTCTCGCCGACCCTCCGCTCCCGGACAGCAAACCCGGAACCGGGTTATCCGCCCTCGGACCATGAATCCACATTGTCGGGTCCATCGCCCGCGTCACCGTTACCTGATTAGGAAAAACAAACGGAAGAGTCATAGCTTATCGCCTTTGGTAAGGGAGATGGCTCCGATATCGGATGGAGGAAATCTGACTCGACCTTGATGGCTTGCGCTCTTCTATTTTTTTTTTTTTTTCTTATCAGATGGGAGCTATAAACCCTTTTTGACTGGACCGGTGGTAAGCTTTGTTAGCCGAATGGAATGTTTTTCGGGAGTGGAGAGAGAAGTTTGGCTAGTGTGAGAGCTGTCAAGATAGCTGGACTACGTTGACGAGATAAGCGATATATTCGTCTCGTCGGCTTATCAGCACTGCTGCCATGATACGGTAAATAAACCCTTCGCCCGCGTCGGCAACTTGGGAGCAAGGCCTATTAGAAACGAGGATCCCCATATATATTATCGCTGTTTGATTCAATGGGTTTTGACAAAGGAATCGACCCTTACCTCCGAAATGGCCCACAAAGACCACGCGACAGAGCCATCTTGCCTCGGCGTACACAGGACGGGCTCCTCTGCCGGGTAGGAGGCAGGATAACCTATGCGCCACGGTAATTGCCAAGAGCGGCTGACATCTTTGGGATCTTGGATTAAGATAAGACATATCGATGTCCACATTAGCATCCTAGCAAACCCCGATCCTTGGGCCTTTTTTCTCCGATCCCTTCATCCATCACACCTGAGCCGTACTTCATAATGTTACCGAACAGACCAGTTCGTAAATGGTCGAGTAACAGACGTTTCCCCCTTCCAGAGAGACGGAGACGGACACTCGCCCACATGGACCCAGGTTGAGGAACCAGACTCTTGGTCTTGTCGTCTGTTAAATTAACACCCCCCTCCCCAATTCAATCCCTATCCCTAGTAGGAGCCATGTTGCCGAATTCGGTACTTTTTAAAGTCTTGACCCCCATCCATTCCCACCTGTCCCCACGCGGTTTACGCCCGCAGAGCAAAACAAGACAAAAAAGTAAATCGATGCCGTCTCGTGAGCGTTTTCCTTATCTTCAGACCGTAAAGTGTTCGCGTGAGAAAGAGGTAAAATTTTGCTTCAGAGAAGGGGTGGCAAGGGTCCGCTTCTCCAGCTCTGCTGTTCCTGCCTAATCCAGCGCAACCCCATTCAAATCCATCAGGGGAGGGTGGGTGTGTCCTTGGCTCCCTCCATTTCAGTATGTAATTCCACTTGCAAATAGGTATAAATTCAAGGAACCTGTGTGGGAGGGGAGAGACGCTCCCTGGTCGTTTTCATAAATATCCCGAGACAATGGCATGCTGCACACAATTCTCGGGGCAAGAAAGGGCCATAAATTGGTGGGGGGATGATGGCGAAATATCATCGCGGGTGAGCTAATCTCCCATCGTGGGTTGAGAGGGAGAAGGACCTGTGGAGACATCTTCCCGGTGAGAGATCGCTGGGCCGCGGTTGCAGATTGTCCGTTATGAAGTAGAACACCTCCCTCGCCGGGGATATAGGTGTGCGAATATCTCAGGTGGGCGTGCATCTCAAACATGTCTGGATGAATACAGCCCCAGGAGTCATCCCTATGTCCGCCGAGACTGCGGCTGGGAGAGAGCATTGAAGTCTTCGGTCCCCGCAATATTGCGTGATATCTCCTGAATCGGTCGAAAGAGTACGTACCTGACCTAGCCGAGGATTGCACGTATTATCAAGCCGCACGCGAAGCAGGGTCCCTCTCGATCCAACATTCCAAAGCCTGACTGGCAGCGCTCCACATATCAATCCAACAGCCGGACTCACAGGTTATGCAGATAAAAGCCCACCCAATCTGCGGGGGCGCTACAAACGCAGCCCAACTGTCACGAGGACATCTAGGCGTCCATCACGGCGTTGTAGCTGGGGAATCCTCGACGCTGCTGCCGGCCGCTAGCATATCGCGCACCCTGCATCTCTCTATCTCCACCAACCGCTTGCCTCGACAGATGGCTGAATGGCGACATATGAGCGGGAGTATCCCCCCTGTTTTCCCCAATCGACCACCTGCAGGTCCATCTGACCGAGATTGAAGGATCAGGAAACTTGGCAATAGGACAGGGAGCCAGGGAGATAGGCCGCTGTCACGGCGTCACTTGGATGGGCACGTGCCGAGTGAGATAAGCTTGGTGGAGTATTCCGTGATCTTGCCGTTCCGCATTAGTCGTTTTGCCTCAATCTGTCGCAGGTGGTGATGATGATGACCTCCTTCATATCTGTTGCGGAAGGACTTCAATCATATGAATGGAGCACTTTGACGCTGCGGTGTAAAAGGACCTGTGAGAGAGGTAGGTGTGGTGCAATGACGACAGTAGTCTGGCGACTAGACCGGCACAAACGGGAGAATCGGCGAGTTGTCTCCTCTTGATTCGGGATGTCTCTGCTCTCATCTTATGGCGTGGGGGTTTCGCTCCACGATCAGCTGCTTCGACGACTTAATCGTGTCAAGGAGGCTAAGTTGCTCGTGTGCACTCCTCCGAAAAGAGTCGGAGAGGGCCTTCTTCAGCCGGAGGAATATAACTCTCTTCTGAGCTGACCTTGGCGTATCGGGCGTAAATCCACGGGAGCTGGTCAGCTCTCCGCTGCAACCCCCAAATTCGAGGCTGTTCTCCACCGCTCTTCGATAGCAGGAAGCGCGTAGTGCGATCATGTACGCAGAAACAAGAGTCCTTGAAAATGTCAACTAGAACTTTGGGGAGAAGGTTGGGACATGGGATCTGAATTGCGTATGGAACGGCGAGACGGTTTGAGGATGGCAAACCCACCCAAACTCCACGTCGTATAAGTGGTCGGATCTACCATGGAAAATGAGTGAATGGCTTATGTATCCTAGCCTTAAGAGCCTCAGTGGTCGGTCAACGGAGCGCGTGCTCAACGCCCTGTCACCGTGAAAGCTTTACACAGCTGTGTAAATATAGGCGATTATTCGTTGATGATGGGAACACATTCCCACTCAGAAAGGCAAAAGAGCAATGGCTACCCATTCCAACGTCGCCGTTGTGTGGCGGGGTAGGAGAATATCGAGAGTCCACACATTTTGCCCGAGGGTCGCAAGCTGCGTAAAGCCACTCGCCTAGGAGCCCTATCTCTCGGGACATACTTCGTAGAATACGAGCAAATGCGCGTCAGAAAAGGTGCATTACATACGAAGGAGAGTTTCGACTGCCGACCCCACCATACTGCTACCCGAACGATTCCGGGCCATGACAACGGAGCCCTGTTCAACGGCGTGGGGAGCAGAGATCTCGAATTTGTAAGACAAAAAGAGTCCCCAACTCCAACAGCCAATCTACAAGTCCAAAGAGAGCCACATGGAAAGAAGTCGCAGCCGGAAAGAACAGGAAATGAAAAATCATTCCTTCGCCACTCCCCTTGGCCCCTCAGCTAGAACATGATGCGCGGTCAGACGGCCGTCCCGTTCCAATGGGCCAGCTCATCCTCGTTCCTGCGCCAGTCTCGTGGAACCAGGAATGGGCGTGGTTGCGGCAGACACCCTCAACCCTGGACGTGACGGAGCGGGCAGGGCATCTTTGGAGCTACGGGCCCCACCCGGTCCCAAGGTTGCGTTGATCCTATGGAGCAGGTACTTATAAAGTTTTTTGACCTGGACAATTTTATGGGGGGGTCTAGAGAGGTCTGAGGCCACAAATTGGGATGATTCCAAAGGAACGTGGTCAGCTTGTGTGGAGGTGGTGCCGAATCCTGTCGTCGCTATTGGATGGTGATGGGTTTTTTTGTGAGGGTGCGGCTCTGACGACGGTTGCGGGGATCGGGGACTAAAAAGTTTTAATGCGTCTTGTACATGATAATTTTTCCTTTTTTTCCTTCTCAAGTTTTTATTTATTTTATTTTATTATAATAATTTTTTGTGGCCTCGCAACAGAGGAAAACCTAGAATGTTTCAGTTCCTGGGCCCTAACAGTGCTGTCGTTGACGTCAAAACACGGAAAACTCGGTGTCCCACGCGTGGACCGGGTTGACGCAATCGATGAGGGGGATGCAGAGTGGATATTCACCGTCATGGGCGCGACCTTTTGTTGAAGCTGGGCTCCTCTGAAACGACTCCAGGACGGATCACTTCCATTTTGACTTCGACACTGCCCCAGAGCGGTTCAATACGATTATCAACCGGTCCACGGAAGCTTCGGTGATAGTTACGTAGTCGGAGACGCGGAATCCCGAAGGCCCTTTGATGACGAGAGCAGTCTCCATAGTCCTGAGGAGGGGAATATATCACTTCCGTACGCCCTGCATGGCAGTCTCGATGCATCCTCTCAGACATTCCACGTAAACCACGGTGCAAACTGGG